GATTGTCGATTGTCGATTGTCGATTGCGGATTGTCAATTGCGGATTGTCAATTGCGGATTGTCGATTGCGCGTCGATTGCGCCATGGTTGTTTCAGTTCGATTGCGCCATGGTTGCTTCAGTTAGTTATCTAAGTGTAATGAACTACTAATTACTATTTCTACAGTTACTCCTCCAGTTACTCCAGTTACATTATGAAGAGTGAGGAGTGAGCAAAAGGAGCAAGAAGCGACCTGCGACCTATGCGGTACACCGTGTTATTTGAGTTCCTTCCCCACTGTAGCACCGTGTTATTCTGTGTTGCCAGTTTTCATGGGAAGGATCATGGGAAGGAAACCGGGACCGGTAACTAAGAGGGAACGCGTTGGAATCACACACGATTGGTTTACATAGAGCTAACTTGCTGGCATGCTTTCGTTTACATAGAGCTAACTCACGGGATCCAACGATCCAACAAGTTTTCATGTGAACCTTTTACTACACGAAGTATCGTGTATTACAAGTTTTCATGTGAACCTTTCTACACGAAGTATCGAGTATGATTCCTTTTACACGTAGTAGTATTGCGTATTGGATTTACAAGCAGTATTAGTACATGTATTGGATTTACAAGCAGTATTAGTATGCAGTACTCATAAATCAGTGCAGCAAGTKGAGCAAACAGCAATCAGCAAGGAGTGGAGCAAACAGCAATCAGCAAACAGTAGTTTAACTTAGTAATCTTAATTCTTAATTCGTATTTGACCATGGGATTACATCGAATCGTCCTCTGAGGAGGACGAGGACGAGTCCTCACACTGTCGCTGTCTCTTCCTCTTCTTCTTCTTCTTCTCGACAAACGCGCTGGCAACAACACGTACCATATCTTTGATTTCTGCCAAAGTATGCTGGTACTGTTGAATGGATGCTTCTTGGTAAGCTTTATACTGTTGCATTGATGCTTGAACAAGCGTTTCTTGGTGCTTCATCGACATGTTGAACATGGATGTGATATCTGTGTTGATGATGCTGGTACTGGTGGAGCGACTGTTGGTGGCGGATGCTTTTGAGTATGCTCTCTTGAGGGGAGCACGAGGGCGAGGAGTGCTCAACAGGTGAGGAACAATCGATGCATGAGTTGATTGGGTTGTTTGCTGTGTTTGCTGAGTCGATTGGGACTCGTATTGCTGAGTTCTTGTTGCTTGAGCAAGCTGCACCATCTGAGTTGCAGTCTCCTCCTCAAGCTGACGAGTTGGCGTCTCAAGCTGCTGAGTCGGCGAAAGCGTCTCAAATCGAGGAGTGAGAAGCTCAGCAGTCGCAGTCGTTTCTTGGGTAAGTTGAACAGTTTCTTGAGTAAGTTGCCACTGAGGAGGAGGACTTGGGGTCTTATTGTTGTTGTCTTCACCATTCCTCAGCGCTAAAGTGGTGTTATCCTCACTAATCGCGTATCCTTCTTCCAGATCAAACTCCTCTTCCCCATCTCCAATGGCTGCCTTGGMACCAATCAASTYCTTGATCTCCTTTGCAAGCCTGATTGCTGGATTCATGTACGGATTGCTGGTAGGACTCGTTTTCCTGTGGAGGGAGGAGTACTTCCTGAGGATGGAATCCTTGTCTCTTCCAGTCCCCCAGTTCTCTTCATGGGTRTCAACAACAACTGCCCATTGTTCTGGTCCAATAGGAAGGATCCTCCTCATGAGTGTCAACATGTCCATGGTCTCTTTCTGGGTGTAGTTGGTGGAACCTTTGGATCTTCCTCCTCTTTCTTGAGCAATTGACCTTGGACGCGTTGCTCCTCCTGCTCCTCCTGGTGCTGTCGACCTTGCAGCTTTTGTTGCAGCTGTTGGTGCTGTTGGTGGAGCCATGATCCTTCTGTTCTTTTTGTGAGCCGGCAAAGAGGAGGGTACCGGTATGTGAATCACATACGGGATGTCGTCTTCTTCCCTCTCAAGAGAGCGCCGGCTCTCTTCCCTCCTCCTCTTAGCAAGCCGCGCTTGCTGCTGCATCCTCCACAACAGAAGAATCTGGATGCTTGTATTAGAATTAAGTAGAGGGCTCCACGCGCCAACAACGACCATCCTCAGCATTGTTTCTCTTTGTTCCTTCTCTTTGTTGTTCCTTCTCTTTGTTGTCATTCCTTCTCTTTCTTGCTGTCGAAGAAAAGATGTGCTTTTTCTTCCTTGACACTTGAATCGGTTTGCCGCCTGTTTAGGGCGCGCCTGCTCCCGAGACTGAAAAATGGTTAAGTCAAGGATTCCAATAAAAAAATATGTAAATTACATATTTTTTGGTTGTCGTGGGCCCACGACAACCAAAATTTATGTATTTTGGGTCATAATGCGAGCCGGCCGGTCTCATTTTTACACAGATATATGTTATCGGGAATCACCCATTGTAAAAGTACTCGTACTAAAAAGGGAAACGTAGTTTTCAGTTTTTCCAACGTTTTTTGTCTATCCCTGTACCGTACTGTGACCAGGGGTGACCCCTGACTGTGAGATGTGAGATGGTACATTAGACGTTAGCTGTTTTGCCGGCGCGAAATCAGAAATTAGAAATCGCATGTTTTTTTTTCCCTCAAGGAGGTACAGTATGAGTGTCAAAGGTAGTTGTTACATTGCATTGTATTGAATTTGATAGTTCATACAGTCCAAGACAACTCCAGTTGAAGAAATAACACTCGAAAGATGGAACGATACCAAAAAATTGCAAAAATAGGAGAGGGGACGTATGGAATTGTGTACAAAGCAAAAGATCGAGTCACGGGTGAAATAATTGCTCTGAAAAAAATTCGACTTGAGGCCGAAGATGAGGGAATACCATCTACAGCTATCCGAGAAATATCATTACTCAAAGAGCTGCAGCATCCAAATATCGTGAGACTTTATGACGTTGTGCACACGGAACGGAAACTCACATTAGTATTCGAGTTCCTTGATCAAGATTTGAAAAAGGTAAGCCCCGAAAAAGTACAAATGTGAGACAATTACGAAACCTGCCTTTTTGCAAAACGCCAACTGATACTTTTTGCACATCATCTCTTTCGTTCGACCAAATAACATCCTAATCTGCGTCTGTAACCTGAAATCCCATTTGATTCAAAAATTTTGAATACTTCACAACAACAACACAAAAACTGCAGTATTTGGACGTCTGCGATTCGGGGTTGGGACTACCAATTCTGAAGAGCTTTTTGTATCAACTATTAACAGGTGTTGCCTATTGTCACCACCACCGTGTACTGCACAGAGATTTGAAGCCCCCTAATCTATTGATCAATCGGGAGGGACAATTGAAATTGGCCGACTTTGGTTTKGCACGAGCCTTTGGAATTCCCGTGAGATCTTACACCCACGAGGTTGTTACTCTTTGGTATCGGGCACCAGATGTGTTGCTTGGATCTCGAAAGTATTCGACACCCGTTGATATATGGAGCGTTGGTTGCATCTTCGCGGAAATGGCCAACGGCCGGCCCCTTGTCGCAGGGACGTCCGAGGAAGATCAACTCGATCGTATTTTTCGACTGCTGGGAACTCCCAAACCGCAACGTGATTTCCCAGGCATCGTTGAGTTGCCGGAATACAGCCCGGAGAGCTTTCCGCCTTATCCACCTCCCAGGGGCGGATTGGCAAGCCTTGTTCCGACACTGGACGCCTCGGGCGTAGATTTGTTGAATTGCATGCTGCAATATGATCCCGCAAGACGGATTACGGCTCAGGCGGCATTGCAGCATCCGTTCTTTGCGGACATGAAACCAGATGGTGGCAGCAAAAGTGCTAGGGCTGTGGGGGGAATGTAGAATTAACAACGGGTTAACAACGCATTAAACAGATAATTTTACTTTTCGTTCTGCTTCTGCCCCCCGAACAATGGTGCGTACGTTTGATTATGGGTACAAGCGCAGACAATTTTGTTCTAGTCCTATTTTAACAATAATATGCAACGCAATCGAGAAATGGTTGAATTCTCTTACAAATGCTTCACCTACTTCTTATTGGTTTCTATTGGTACGCGCCTTCTGATTTGTGGAAACTGCAACGACTGCAACCCTTATTCATGCAATCTGATTCAACTGTGCTATTAATATGATTCGATTTTTTTACAGGAATTATTTCCGCAACCTGTATTCTTCTTACTTTTTCATGCTTGCTTTTTTCAATTGCTTCACGTGCTTGTCTTGCTCCTTTTTCAATTTCTTCATCGCGGATTTGGTGAGCTCATTTCCCTCGGCGTCGTGCGTAGGCACGCCATTGTCGTCGAATTTTGAGTACTTGCCCTTGAATTCTTCGGCTTCCTTGAAAAAGTTAATGGGGTCGATTTTCAAACGCGCCTCCTTTGCCGCCAGATCTGCCTTTTGCTTTGCCTTGCGTGCCTCGTTGGCTTCCTCTTCGCGCTTGCTGAGAGTGGCCTTCTTTTTGCTAACTTCTTCCTTCAATGTGACGGTGCGGTTGAAGACCAACTTCCCCGTTCTGGTTGAGGAATCGAAGGTGGAATCGACGTCGACCACAAAGTACCCCATTCGCTCAAACTGAAGGGCTTGGTTAGATTTGACCAGACTTATATCTTTCTTGTCAACTAGTGGAAGAACGGACGGATCGATGAAACCATTTTCGTACACGATTTCTGATTTGGGATTGATTTCTTCTTCCCACAAATCCGACGGCTCGGGAACGGTGAACAAATGGTTGTAGACACGGATCTCGCACGGAATTGCAGTTTGGGCCGGGACCCAGCTGATCCAGGTCTTTGGCTTGACACGGTCGTCCGACCCGTCCAAGTGGCACTTTAATTCTACGATTTGAGACTTTTCCTTGCCGTTAGCCCCTTCCTTGAAAACGACCTCGTCGCAAATCAAGTTTCCACCATAATACTTCAAACCGACTGCTTTGTTGGGTGCCAAACCATAATAGCTGGATTCATCCACTAGACGGAAATCGGAGGAATCGATGTACAAGGTTTGAGTCAGCTCAATCGTGTGGCTTCCCATAGAAGGGTCCGTTGGAGAGTTTTGTACTTCAAATACCATACCCTCGCCTCCATTTCCCTTTGCGTCCTCCCAATTCGTCACTACAACTTTGATTGGTTCAAGAGCAGCCATGGCACGCTGGGTCTTTTCACTGAGGGCCACGCGTGCAGTCGTATATAATTTCTCCATCTCGATGACATTAGAGGCACGAGTAGCCCCGAGATCGGTGCAGAACTTGTTGATGATTTCTGCCGTGAATCCCCTTCGGCGATAGCCCGAAAGAGTGGGCATTCGAGGGTCGTTCCATCCACGCACAATGCCGTTGTTGACGAGTTTGAGAAGGCGACGTTTACTTAGAACGGTGTACTGGAGATTCAATCGAGACATCTCGTAGACGTTCGGACGATACATATCGAGTGCCCAAAGAATCCAGAAATAGGGTTCGCGTCGGGTTTCGAACTCGAGAGTGCAAATGGAATAATCAATGTCCTCGAGGGAGTCACAGATTCCGTGCGTATAATCGTAGTTGGGGTAGATGCACCAGCCATTTCCCGCATGTGGATGGCTCGTATATCTGATTCGGTAAGCGACCAAATCGTACATGTTTGGATTGGAGGATTCAAAGTCCATCTTGAGACGAAGAGTCCAGGTTCCTTCGTCGTACAAACCCATTTTCATGCGTTCAAAGATGTCAAGGTTCCGTTCGACGCTTGTATCGCGGTTTCGTCCGGGAAGAATATCTTCCGAAGGGATCGGAGCAACCTCGTCAGGATCTTCTCCTTTGTTTCTTGCGAGGACACGCTGCATGGCCAATTCTCGTTGGGCTTCCATTTCGGCCTTGGTCATGTCACAGCAATATGCCAAGCCATCTTTGATCAGCTTTATAGCGAGTTCATAAAGCTTTTGAAAGTTGTCGCTGCTGTACGTAGTTCGTTCGGGTGTCCACCCAAGCCACTCCAGGTCATGCACAAAGGAATCGATGTATTCCTTCGATTCGGCATCGGGGTTCGTATCGTCGTATCGAAAGATGCAGCGTCGGTTTTCAGGTGCAACGCCCAGTTTTTCAAAAGCCAAAGAAAAGTTCATATTGATGGATTTCGCATGACCCATGTGCAGGTATCCATTGGGTTCCGGGGGAAAGCGGGTTCGAATGATTGGGCCATTGATTTCGGCGTGCTTGGCTTGCAGCTCGGGTGAATTCTTAGCCCATTCGAGCTCTCGGGCCGACAAGGCATTGGTGGTGGTTGTAGCTTCTGCCATGATGAGGATTCTTCTTTGCTAAGAGATGTGTACAGTTCTGCAAGATAGCGTATGACTAATCGCTGTAACTTTGGCTGGGTTTGGATATCAAGAGATCATGTCGATAATTCTGGAGGTACAGTACCGTACTGTAGTGCCGTACGGTACGGTACTCGTACAGCAAGATGTGAGAATTTCGTCACTCGAAGAACCTGTCTGTCGACCTCTCGTTGTCCTCTTTTTGAATGGACGCTTAACACCTTCGTACGGTACCTACCTGAAAGCTACTGTATGAATGGTAGTAGGTATTCGTACGCCTACCAAGCACAGGAGCGTCGTTCGTCAAAGTTCGTCTACTAGGCGTAAAACGTAAAATAACTATGTTGATAATACTAGGATCTACGTAGGCCTACTACGTGAAAAATTTAACATTCCGTACATGAAATAAAACATTTGGAACTCTTATTTCTAACATTCGGAATGATAAATTAAGATTGGGAATGCCCTGTGAAATGTAATTTCAATTGATCCGCAAGAGCATACCACTACCAAAAATGTATGATTCTATGACAGAAAGACATGCTTCTATGTGTGCACAACTGAAAATTAAATGTAATTATTACATAGATTCTATGTTTACAGGAATTCCCCAATAAATAGTAATAGAGCTCCTTACTTCAAGCTCACTGCTAAGAATGTCAAGTACTTGTTGGCAAGTCCCACACAAACACTAACAAATAATTGTTGCTCATTTTATAGGTGAGAACCTTCAAAATTACTGTCCATGCAACAAAACATTACAAATTGGGGGGGGGGGGGATCAATGCTGACTAAGAAGAACAAGGAGGAATTCTGCCAGAGGCTAGACTTTGACAAGCAGATGTGTTGTACTACTACATATCCTGCATATACTACTAGTATTCTTCCTTAATCTTGAGACAGACAATGTCAGGGTTCTAATTGAGTACACATTGCTGCCTGAAGGGAGAAGGAAGACCCTGCAATGTGAACAGAAATGTACTGTTTCAAAGTTGAAGCAGTTGAGCAATACATTTTGCCCTCCTCTGAGACTAGTAGTAGTAGTACTAGTGTCCTTATCACACAATTGGCTAGGGTTGATAGGAATGGACTTCTTCAAAATTCTCCTACAATGTCCCAAATTTCTCACCAATCACAGCCATTCTCACAAAGTTTTGGTTGTATGCCTAATGGTTGTGCAATGATTTAATTCTCATTCTCAAATGACATTATCTAGCAGAGTAGCCAGTACAGTACTAGTAATACTACAACTAACATAAGAGGGGCTACCAGCTACTACTAGTAGTACTTACCGCTAGTAATGTTACTAATACTAGTAATATGCATTCAGCACAAAATGCACAAGCAGAGAAAAAAATTCGTTTTCAAGTTTTTGTTGAGAGCAAAGCATTCCAATGGGAACGAGATTAAAGAAAAATGCCCGGATCGTTATCGATGCGATGGTTCGGCCCCAAGGTGAAGAGTGGGCTGATGCGTAAGGTCCATGCTCACCCATACATTGCAGAATGTGGTGTGCAGCTTGGAAGTGGTTGATATCAGCAGATGAAATATGAAATCACCTACCACAAGCATATCATGCAAATCGAAAAGGGCAATTTGAACGCCACCTCAAGGGATGCAGTAGTCGAAAGAAGACGCCACATATATCAGATCCTATTTCTGGACTGTCGTAAAGATTGCACATATTATATAATCAGAGCTGCTATTACCGCGTTCGACCTATAGATTAAAATAAGACTAGTGTTTCAGCTATTTTTCCGCAGCGGCAGCATCTCTTGCTTTGTTATTTGCTGTGTGGTTCACAGGGGCAACTCCGGCCCCGGCAGCAAAGCGTTCGTTTCTCAGCTCGGCACTCGGTGTGAATCCCTGGACCAAAGGTTTGTAAACCTCGGCCATGAATCCCGGGTCCAAGAATTTGTACATCGGATCCTTCTGGCTGGCCTCTTTGAGGAGTTGGATGTGATTGTCGACGTGCGTCATAGTATTTGCGGCAATGGCACCCGAAGCAGCGGCAGACGGGGTGCCAATTCCAGGGAAGCAAGAGTCACCACATCGCAGCAATCCATCGACGGGTGTCTTCAGGTTAGGGAAGGGGAAGGGCAAGACCTTGCCCAACAGTCCAGCTTGGGGAGCGGACGAACCGGCGGCCCACGCCATACCGTATGTACCGCGATCTCTTCGCAAGAAGGCTTCGTGTGCCAGAGGACTTCCGATGATCGAGAATTCAAGACGGTCACGAATGTCGGGAATGCATCTTTCAACAGCCCTGAACAAGACCTCGACACGCTCTTCCTTGTACGCCTCGTATTCGGGCGAGCCAGATTTAAGCTTCTCCCATGGTTCGTAGGGTTCTCCACCGGAAGAGTAAACATGGATGACGTGTTTTCCTTCGGGGCAAACCGACTTGTCGAGAAGGGATGGGATGAAGAACGAGCAGAGATTTTGAGAATCTTGCATCGATCGATCCCAATCTTGTACAACCAAGTGGGCAGGGTCATCGATAAAGGAAAGATCCAAGTCCTTCGCGTCAATCCCCAAAAACAAGTGGGAGATGGCACCATGACGAGGCAGGGTACCAAGATCATTTCGCCACTTGGTAAGCTTTTTGGGTTCGTCCTCCTTTTCGGGCATCAATTTGACGGTATCAAATGGCGTAGCATTCGAGACGACAGCCTTTCGCGCCTTGACGACATTTCCGTTCTTAAGACGAACTCCAACAGCACGTCCATCTTCGATAAGAATTTCGTCGACGTGGGCATTGAGTTGAAGCTTTCCGCCAAATTTTTCCAGTCCCCGTTGGATGGTTTCACCCAACTGGGAAGTTCCACCGACAGGCACAGAAAAGGCAGCATCTTCTTCGAAAAATCTCTCGAGAATGTAAAGAATGTGAGCAGTCATGGCACCCTTTGCAGGGAATCCGCAGAAGATGCACATGAGATCGATGAAATTGCGGACGAATGGGACAGTGACAATTTCGTCAACTGTTTTGGACAAGTCATCGAACGTCAAAGGTAAATCAGCAAAGACATCTGGATGGGTGGCAACAAACGGAAGGGCGCCCGCTGTTGTGGCGAGAAATCCAGCATCTTGTCGAAGATTGAGAAGTGCGACCGCGGTGGTGGATCCTCCAAGGGTTCTGAGACGTTCTCTCAAGGCGTTCCATTCCTGTGGTTGTTGAGTTTGTTTCATTGAAATCGGCATTAGAACGTTTCACATTCAATTTTTCCGATTTGAGCGAAGGAGGAATGTAAGCAAATAATATTCAATTTCTTTCACTGTCAAACACGAAAAGTTACCAACACTATTTCCACAACGATTCAAAAAAAAGTGCGCAGGAACTTTTTTACTCACAGCAATTGCCTTCGGTCCATCTTCACCGCATTGCTCCATCAGAAGTTCCTCGAAAGCCTTTTTGTCACCAATTGGGAATCGCCAGTATCCCTCTGGAGTCCAGAAGCCCAATCCCTTGTAGGTTTCGACCGGCATGGATTCCTCGAGAATGTCGAACACCATTCGCAAAGGATTCAACGACGGCTTGTCGAGTCCCTCGAAAATGGAAGGACCAACTTCGAAGCTGTATTTTTCGCCATTGTGGACACGGGTGAACGTGTGAGCAGATCCTCCAACCTTGATGTGAGATTCTAGAACCAACACTTTCGAGCCGTATTTCGCCGAAAGGGCACCGCAGGTCAATCCTCCCATACCACTTCCAATCACGATCACGTCGTATTCCCCAGAGTCTCCAGACAAACCGTTACCGGTTCCCTTGTAGGTTGGCTTTTCGTACTTGGTTTCTGTAGACATGTCGTAACTGAAGGTCATGACCTTTTCACGGGAGGTGTCCTCGGTTTGTTCTACATTCTTCTTTTCGATGTCTTCGGTGGTGGAACGGAGGCTAGATACTGTGCGAGGAGAGACGCCGAACGATGGAGTAAAGGCCGTCGTTGTAGTTCCAACGGCAGCAAGGAAACCAAGTAAGGTGGTTGCTTGTTTGAACAGCATGGTATTGATTCTTTTTTCTGAAAATTGTACCCTGGTGGGTGTAGTCAATGTCCAATCCCAGATTAATTAAAAGGAAGATATTTCAGAGTTGTTCGTTCAATCGGCACCGTGATGTTCTCCAGTACTCGTACTCGTGAGCCAAAGGGAATGAAACGCTTGATCCATTCGACAAGGACACGTAACCTTCAAAATCTTGAAATCCAAGTTGAAGCTCCTTTCGTCAATTTCATATTCGATTTGGTTGGTTCCATCTGGAATGTATGAAATTCGAAACGGGATTGACTTTCTTCAGTCGTTCCTGTGTTTTCCTTCATCTTAACCCCAAAACTCCAATTTAACCGCTAAGTTATCATCGAAAAGTTTCTCCCTTACAGGACCGGTATGATACTCGTAGTCTACAAATCCCATCATCACGTTTAATTAGAAATGCAGCCTTCCACTACCGTACTGCTATATCGATGAAAAGGAAAAAGACGACTCAATAGTGTTCGAGAAACTCGATTCCATCAGACTTCTACCATATCGAACTCAAATAAGAAACATGAGTTGAAGGGTGTTGGTATTCGTTCTAGTCGATGGTCTCATTCAGACAAAGGTGCATCTGAGACAGACCGAAGATCTTTTGTGAGATGTATGTATATCGTCAACGTTTGATCCAATGCGCAATGTTGTATCTCCCCGCTGAGAAGACACTTGGATATTTGGACAAGTGTCTACGAAAGTGGGTAGCACCATTCAATGCTGTCAACTAGCTTCGACTTTCGAACACCATGATTTATCACTGGTCTGAACCTCGAACACGACTTCACGAACCGTTCGCAAAAGCAAAAAGTAGTTTTTAAGCAAGAAAGATACAAGATCAGTAACGTTCATAGGAGGTCTCATTTCTCTATTGATTATATGTATATGTATTTCACAGTGTCGATTCCACAAAATAGGAATGGAGTTGATTACCAGTCTCAAAACAAATATAAACAGTCCACGGTTATATGTTGTCCTGTCTTCTCATTTTACGTAAGGATTGACTTCGATTTCCATTTAATCATACGAACAGCGTTCTTATAGCGCGTCAGTGGGCTGATTGGTGGGCCTTCTAGTCGGCTGGTTTGTGGGCCTTCTAGTCGGCTGGTTTGTGGGCCTTGCGGTGGGGTTTCGTGTCGGTCTACGGGTGGGTCGGCGCGTTGGTCTTTTCGTCGGTCTACGGGTGGGTCGGCGTGTCGGTCGGCGCGTCGGTCTACGGGTGGGACGGCGGGTGGGAGTTCTGGTGGGACGTGGGGATGGCTTCTTGGTAGGTTTGTGAGTGGGTCTCCGAGTTGGATCGTCAGTTGGTTCTAGTGGGAAAGCGGCGCCTTCAGCGTTGTTGATAGCATCTTGAATTTCTTGATCGCTCATACCGGATGTTCCTTGCTCATCGATGATTAAGATTGGAATCGGCCCTGTTTTGACAAACGGCATTGGTTCCCCTGGCACTGGTTCCCATCGCCTCTGACCTAAGTAGCTGTTGCTACCCCTTTGCGGATACCTGTTTACTTGCTTGTAAACTGGCTGACCCTTGTATTTTGGAGTGTTCTTGCTGCTTTTACCAGCCTTGTAGGTTTTTCCAAACTTAGGGTTTGGCATCTTTTTTGGCGCCTGATATCCATACTGTTGTCTCATTCCATACCCACGATTGTAATTCCTTTGTCTAAGGGAAGGTCTGTAACCGTAATTGTAAGGTCTCAGCTCGCGATTTCCCTCAGTCTCCTCGAAACCATTCTCGTCATAGTAATCTGCTACGTAGTTGTCTTCGTCATTTTGATGGAGATATCGTCTATCTGAAACAGTATCGTCGTTGGCTTCAACAATAGACACACCGAGAAAAAAGATCAGGCCGATCAAAGTGTGGATGCGAAGAAACATATTTCGCAGAAAAAAATTCGTTTCGCTTTTAAATACTAAGGATGGTTCGAACAAGAGAATGAATCAAGGATTTGCGTTCAGAGGCGACTGGATATTGGCGTTCATACGCAAATGATGACGACACAGTTCGTCTAAACACAATAAATTACATACCGACTCGTGAGAATGTTTCAGTTGTTGCTTGCTTGCCGTAGGGAGCTTATACCGAAGTCGCTGCTATGCGATGATTGCGATTAATTTTGATCGAAAGCTTTATGATGTCTTCAGAAATTCTGAAATCTCTTTTAAACTTAATCACTTTCATTATCTTTCTATTTGATGGTCAACGCAATAAATTTGATTCCCCAAATTATTGCATCCTTCTATCTAAATTAGGCAGGCACGACCGATCTATCAGCTCTTTGCCTATTCAGCTAGTCACCGGTAGGCACAAAATCGAACTTTTTTCTTCGGTGCATCTTCGTAAATTTCGAAATTGCCGATGGGGGATCTTGAAAGCCGCCATTTTTGGCAGTCCCAGTTCCAAATCAAGGTAAATTGCTCGTACTCCTTGTAGTCGTGATGTATGAATTTTGTAGCCGGGCTGGACAGCCCTCCCCAGTAGTCATGTCCTTCCAACAAAGAGTCATAATTTATGCGCGCGATGCAGCTCGAATTTTTGGTAGAGCTGACGAAGCAAAATTGGATGAAGGACAGAATACCGTATGAGGGGCTACGCGGAGACGAAACTGCAAATTTGCAGTCAAGTACAAATTTAGTCCCTTCCGTGTTAAATGCATGTAATAAACTGCACAATCTACAGTGCAAACTTAATTGTGGTGTAAAAAAGCATCTAAACATCCAATTCAGACCTAGTTTTTTGCAGAATTTATCTTAACATCCTAATGAACATGTTGGGTTCAGTGGGTAGTTGGGTCATCCATTTTTTATGCTGAAACTACTGGTATAACTAGGAGGTCCTGCTAGTAAGAATGAGGATTCGTCATCCTAGGATTTAGATGGTAGCAGCCCAGTAATGGGTGCTGAGGCTAGGGGTTGGAGTCCCCACTTGGTCGCGCTTTCTGAAAGACTCCTCAGAGTGAAGTGCCACCCTTTGGCCTTTGGGGTGACTAGTAGCTGCATTCTCCCTTTGGGTGTAGGAATGGTTCTGGCCATATAGTGCCTCTAGTAGTACTAGTTCACGAACAAGTAAAATATAATATTAAGATTTTATTTTAAGTAGGAGGTCCTAGTAGTACCACCACCAGTAGTAGTACTAGTAGCAGGAGTATTAATACAAGTACAACTAGTAGTACCATACTTGGTTTCTACTAGTAACAATGAGGAATACTATGTATTAATAGCTACTAGTACTAGTTGTACTACTACTACTACTAATAGTAATAGTAATAGTTGGTAATAGTATAAATAGTATGATTGTTTACTAGTACTACTACTAGTAGTAGTAGTTAGTATTATCCATAATATTTCAACTCCCATTCTTGAGTTGGATTTTGCATTCTTGAGTTGGATTTTGAGTGATATTGTCTGATGTTTGAGAGCAATAGCATATACTGCTTCAAAGAGATAATATAGGTGTCTGTATTTCCTGTTTGCCAAACTGTCCTTATAGTAGTACTAGGAGCTCTTCCATGACAGCATTCTGAGATGTTTCTCTTCTTCCTCAGACCAATCAAACAGTGACAAGATCTCATCCCTATTGTTCCTATCCATATCTATCCCAACTCTCTGATGGATATCTTGGAACACCCCTTTCCTCCCTTCCACCTCTTGGGAAATGCTCCCGTCTGGGTACCACTGCAGGTAAAGTCTCCTTTACTGAGATAGAGGAGGCTTTCTCAAAAAAGAATCTGCTTTGTGGGTCTTCATTCTTTCACCAAACTCCTGTTTAGAGATACCTGCTCTTATAACAGTCCCGCTTGTAGAATCTTCAAACAAGTAGTAGCTGCCATTCCATTTCTTTCATCTCTTCTGGAACAACTTTATGGAAAGCATTCATGTCACCACTGGATAGGTAGCTCTCATGACAACCCCTAAGCTCCAGATTTTTGGTAGAATGGCCAGAGAGGACTACCAAGACAGAAATTTGGGGGATATGCCTAGCAAGAGAATCCTCTTCTCATTGTACTTCCTAATCCATCTTTGAAGAGTGTGATAGTTTACAACACATTTTTTCCCTTCACTCAACATCTGCATGAGAGGAGGCTTCACTGAATAATTGAATACTGGACTCTTTGTGTCAATCTGAGTAAGCACTACCAATTGTCGCAAACAATATCTTGATCCTTCTACATTGGGTTTCTCATAATTCTCTAATTGGGTTACAATGCTATCAGCTGACTTTGTGCTTGACCTTCTTCTTGGTCTCTTTGCTGGAGGTGATACTATCATTGATGGGGTATTTGGATTGATTGATTTCTCAAGCACCTGTTCAACAATAGACTTCCTCTTATTGACCAACTTGGCAGATGTCTGAAGCCTTTCACTGATGACTCTCTGCTTCTTTTCTTCAGCCACTATATCAGATAGTAGTAGAAGGTCATTTGCAAGTCTGAAATTCCATCATGCTTGAGTGCTTGGTCTAGGAGGTCAAACACATTACCAACTCCCTTTGTCATCAATATGATCTTCAGAGATAGCTTCATCAAGTCTCGTTTCTCTCCACTCGTAACAATGGCAAGAACTTCATCCAAGAAGGAGGAAAGGTTGGTGAGGATGGTCTTTCCTTCAATGATGCTCTGGACCTTGAGCTGTTGTTTGGTTCCCTTGGTTGGAATTTTTGTTCTTTAATTGATTCCCACTGGCGCTGGTACGCTCATTGCTCCGTTGAATCGATGGATAGTCGAATCTTGATCTCCTGTGTCTTCTGATGATTTAGAGCTAAAAATTATTGTCTTCTGAGCTCTGGAACTATAGATATGGTCCAAACAGTGTGGGGGAGGTGCAAATCCAATCAAAAATATTCTGCAACAGGGCTCTCTGTATCAAATCGCTGGCGCTGCTATCAAATCAAACCACCTGGTCAATGCAACAATTTATTCCTATCTCTAAGGTGATAAAGAAAATGTCTGCAAAAAATGTTTTCAAATCTGGTGATGTCTACTTTGAGAAGTAGAGTGGCTAACTGCTACCATGGGGGAGTGTGTGTAATGGTTGTTTGTGAAGAAAAAATTCTGGATTGGATTATGGCACTTTTGTGTGGGGATTTACTAGGAGCCGGCCTGAATTCAAAATTAATTTCCCCTCCTCATTTAATTTTTTTCCCTCCAGAAATAAAAAGTTGCAGTTTCATTGAATTGCAATTTTGTCGCTGCATAGGGGGTCATTCCCCTTAACTTTTCCCTGTTACATGTTGCCAAATGTTGTGAGCCCAAATCATGAGTAGATAGTGAATAAGCTGACTCTTTGTTGGAAACACATACGTCACAGGGCACTGAAGAGCACACGTATATTTTGCAGGTTACTACGAGCAACAACAGACCTACCTCCACTGCTCATCCGCCTCTTTCACCACAAAGGTCATTATTGTAATCTTGGTTCCTAGAGCATATTGCTTTACAGATCTGGACATCTTGCTTTATCCATACATCCGAGCCAGGCATTTGCGACAGAACCCCATTGTTTGGAAGAGGAGAACCAGTACTAAATCCTGTACTAGCAATCTACTGGATCTCTGGATCTCCGAACCCCTGGTGTCACCAGCACACCAGAACCCCATCAAACACAACAACACCAATGCCTCATATATTCCTTAGCACAGCAGTTGACAACACCAACCATGCTGCTTTCTTCCTCCTCCAAACAAAAGACCACCACCAGAGGTAATCCATGGCGCCCTCCTAAATCACAGTTTGGAAAATACCTTGTCAAAACACCCACAAAATCTCCATCTAATCCAAAACTAAAGCTGACTGGATATGATGGAAACATCCAACATGAAATATGAGTGCTCCAGCTGGTCTTTCCCACACGCTCTGACCCTTCCATCTATAACAAGAGTCTTTTCCCCTTTAAACCAACGTGCCCCCAGCATCATGCGCACAACTGTTTTGTCCAAATTGACAAGATTGTAGCTCTTGGCAATGCACTTAAAGAACTCATCCATTGTAATCACTTTTGTATGCCACCTCCATCCAACAACCACTAAACCTGTGGCAAAACTACAGTGTACTAGCCTTCATTGCCCATATTGATGGACCACTTGCAAATGCTCACTCAAAAAAAGGAAGAAAACAGGTGATTCCTGTCAATCTAGATGGTTTATTTTTTGATAGACAGACCAAAAATAGACCATCCAGTCCAAATTTTTAGACTTTCTGTCAACACACAATTCACCATTGTTGACAGAGGATCTAGATCTAGTCTTGAATCCAAAAATGAAAATCTTACTGTAGTACTTTGTACTCAAAAAGCAGGCGCCCTTTTTCAGTCTGAAGTCAATTCCAAATTCCCACAACAAGACTAGAAGAGTACCTAAAAAATGTCTGTTGGGACCCTGTTTTTAATGATTCCTTTCAAACTACTAAAAAATCTAAAGTATACTGTTCAGACTTTTTGATCATCTAGATTAACAGCAATCACCCAATATTTGCTTTTTTGAAAAATAGGATTTGTTCTGGAGTCTACACAGGTTGAAAAAGAGAGTTGAGTGAGTCCACTAAAGAAACTAAGAAAATTGAAAATAAAGCACCAGATGCCACCTGTTGCCTTCTTGCTGGAATGGTCCTTTACTGGTATAGAGCTGGAGGGTCTGTTGCAAGAGCAATGACAATGACATTTGGGTTGACATCCACCATACCACCAGTGATGTACAAATTGATCAAGTTCTCCAGGAAAGTGCTCCTCGTTGTCCTCCACAAACATCAAATTGTCATGGCCAGTACCCCTAATGAAGAAGAGATCAATAAGTAGTATGTTAGTGCAATTAAAAGGAAGTATCCACAATATGGAGATCAATGCTTCTGGCGAGCCTGTGATGGAATGAAGATTCCCATCCAGTCACTACTAGTACTACTACTAGGAGATTGGACTAAAAAAAGGACATACTTCAATGCATGGAAAGAATGCACCTTAGTGAACAGCATGATTGTCTTTGCTCCCAATGAAAGGGTCAGAATTGATGTTCTCAACTATCCTGGTGGCACATGACACAACAACTATATCTGGCAACCATGGCTTATATGAGAAAGCAGAAGGTTCACAATACTTATGATGGTACCAAGATTGTTGTTGATTCAGCCTTTGTATTAAAAGATAGGGAGCATTTCCTCAAGAGTTCACAAAGTAGACGACCCTGAACAAGCAGACACAATCCTTCTCAATGGGGATGCAAATTCATTAAGACAGATGTCGGAATGGGGAATTAGGATGCTCCAACGAAAGATTGACTGCAGTTTGAAGAGCTCATGGACAGGATGATCATCATCCACTTCTTTTTCAACCTATACAACTATCAGTACAGTAAGGTTTGGCACAACCATATCATAGAGTCTTTCTGAAGTGCTCTCCTCCAGTGACACTTGAGTCAATCCATGGGCCATGCATAAAGATTGCACTTGAGACAGGGTACTTCACTGCTGGAAGGCAGCTGTCAAAAGACATGAATGCTAGCCTAGTTGAATGACAAATCCCATGGTTCAATTGGATCTGCAGTTGGTTTGAAAATAACAGATTGCATTTTGTGAGCACCTTGATCCTCAACATTTGGAGCTTGCAAGTCAATGAAAACAGTCAAAGCAAATCAATACAATACAATATGATGTGATACAATATGGCATTACTCACGCATTCAATGATGACAGATTCTTTACAGCACTTCCATGGTGTAAAAAGTATGGTTAGCACTTTTGATAGTCCCCTGTACATCTCTTGAGTTATCTTGTCTCTTTTCTCTTCTCTTTTGTCCCTTGCCTCCTCTCTCTCTTCTGCTGTTCTAACTCTTTCCTCCTCTGGGTCTCAAGGAATACTTGAGCACGCATTTCACAAAGCCTTTGCAGCTGAGAAGATAAAGGAGGCAGTATGGGCCAAGATTGGGATTGCGCTGTTTACCAGACAATGCCTTGATGACCAGAAAGTTGCTCACAAAATAATTATGCTGCCGGATGGTAGCATTGATATTGACGCTGATCCTAAGACGGCTGAGCTTGTTGAATGGGAAGGAGTGAATGATGCGGCAATCCAAATACTCAATGATGCTAGATTTAATGGAGAGATTTACCAAAGATATGCCCTAAGGCTATCAGTGTCTACAACACCAGTGACAAAAGCTGGGACTAGGGAACAGCAAATTGAAATTGGAAATATCAAATGCTCCAGTGAGCATTTTATTAGTAGGACCAAAGGTGATACACTAAACAGTGGTGATGGCTACTTCATCGCAGAAGAAAGAAAGAGGCAACAACAGCTTGTTAAGGAGCTAGAAGCAGCAAAGAAGAAATCACAAGCAGTAAGTGTGTTGAATGCAAAGGGCACCAGAGTGATTGAGGGGGGGAAAGATGTGTACAAGGAGGAAGATGCCAAGTCACTTCCAATTTCAACACTCAAACTGTTGTACCAGTGGTGGAAACAACAGAAGAAGATCCCTACAAAGAAAGACAGTGTAGCTATTTGGTATGTGGATGCAAGTCAGGAATGTCCCTCCTGCAGAGCCTTCCTGGAGGGACTCTGATGAAGCTCAAATGCAGAAACTGAAGGAAAAAGATATCACAATCAGGGAGACTAAATTACTGGTAGGCAGGGAGAGATAGACAACAAGATGAGGCTCTAACCTGCTTTGCAGGAATGACTGAGGAGGAAAGAGCTGCTAAAAATCTTCCTGTTTCAGTTCTCAAGTCTGTGAAGGGGGTAGTTGAAGAAGTCTAATGATAAGAGAGGCCCAGTAGTTAGCCCATTAGCGCCTTAGAGGGCGCTCCAGTAGTAAGCGATTTCAGAGAAATCTGTTCTTGGAAACAATTTTGATTTTGATTTCATGTTAATACTAGCAGTATCTGGATATCAATTTTGTTTTGCCGACTTGAATTCTCAAAAAGTGAGACAAAAAAGAGCTTGGAACCTTTGACAGAAATAGTCTTTTTTATTGAGAAAGGTTGAAGGTGAGGGTGTTATTTTGCAAGGAGCTGGGAGGAGTGCAGCTGCGGAGGTTGAATTCAGAGTGTCCCCTGGTCTTTGTGGCAGTTATCCTGCAGGAAGCACACATAGTGAAAAAGGCTAATGACATCCAACGACAGAACAGCAATTCCACAGCAACCCAAACTGAGTTGCCATGGAATGTCCTGCATCCCCCTGACCCAGATGACCCAGAACAGACACTCCTTGTGGATGTCAGAAATGGATTCAATGAAATCAGCCAAAAGACCCTTTTCTGCACCATACAACAGGGCCTGCAGGGGCACAGTTCTGCTTCAATTGCTACCAGTATTCTGCCAAGCTGATTCTCAGCGGCCCTTCTTCCACAGATCCATGCTCAGTTTTGCTCTCACATGAGGGTGTCACCAAAGGCAACCCCCTCTTGATGATCCTCTACGGGCTGGCCCTGGTTCCACTTGCAAAAACTCTTTGCACTGCATTCCCCAATGTGACCCAACCATGGTATGCTGATGATGCTGCCATGCATGGACAAGCTTCTGAAATTGCTAGTACCATGCAGCTCCTCCTTTGGCTGGGCCCAGAATGGGGCTACTATCCTGAACCAATGAAAAGTGTTTTTGTTTGGCCTCCAGCCCACCTCCCCCGATCCAGCACTGTCCTACAGGAATTCAATTTTGACTTCCAAGATGGAAGTCGTTACCTTGGGGGTGATTGGCTCCAGCCCCAGATCAAAAATAGGTTGCAAGTTTACAAGTTTTTGCTGGCGCCGTACACCGGTATCCACAGGTGGCCTTTGCAGGTTTGACCAAATCTCTGCAATCCAAATGGGCACACCTCTAACATGTTGTCCCAGATGTTGTAGATTCTTTTGCACCAGTGGAGAAGGCTCTGACAGAGGAATTTACCCTACTTGGAGACATCGTCAACAACACTGCTGAGCTCCAAGATTTGCTGGCATTCCCAGTGAAATTCTCAGGCCTTGGCATCCCCGATCCCCAGGCCCATGCCCAGACCCATTTTGACATGTCCATTGGTGCAACTGGAGACCTCATTGTCTCCCTCCAAAATTCCGCGGACCTTGATGTGCAGACCTACTGTGACAATGTTTTGCAGCACAAGGGGGACTGCTGAAAGCAGCGCTTGGCATCCCTCCAAGCCTCCCTCAATGCCCTGCTTGTGACTGGGTCTCAAAAAATTCTGCCACTGCATCAGATGGGGCCAGGTTACTGGTGCCTGGCTGACAGCGACACCCCATAACCTCAATGGGACAGTCTTGTCAGCAGAAGAATATGAGGACAACCTCAGATTGAGATTTTGCCTCTGCCCTTAACACCTTCCCAAGCCATGTGATGGATGCAGTGCCAGCTTCTCAGTCAAACACGCCATGTCCTGCCAAAAGGGCAGGCTCATCCTTCAACACCACAACAACATCATTGCAGGCAAATGGTACCAGTTCTGCGCCAAGGTGTTGGCACTGAGCAGTGTTACTGATGAAATAAGAATGGCCACCTATCAGCCAATGCCAGCTCCTCACAATCAACGCCAATGCAACACCCCACCACCACCACACAATCTCAGAGGCGATCTTGCAGTGCATGGATTTTGGAAGCAAGGAACCACTGCAGTGTTTGTTGATGTCAGAATCACAGAAATTGATTCCTCCTCATATGAAAAGAGGCCCTACTGCAGGTGCTCCAATCCCACCAAGAGCAAGAGAAGAAGGACAAATATCACCAGGACCCTTGTCACCAGGCCCACAAGCACTTCACACCTCTTGTTTACTCCATTGATGGGATGAAGGGCCCAGAGGCAGTTGCAGCTTGAAAGCAGCTTGCCTCCAGGCTTGTTGCTTCCAAGTGGGGAAGGAACTATTCTATTGTAATTGGATTTGCACTTGCAATGGCTGCTAGCAGATGCTTGAGGGGCACTTGCAATGCCAGATTGAAATTTGTTCAGCTTCTTGATTGGAATTCTCACTCTGGTGTTCAGGTTTATGCTTACTAAGCCATTACTATTCAGCAGTAAAATAGTACCACAGATATCAACTTAATATCCAAGAAAATGGTATATTCAGAATCAGCATGAAAAACTGGGCTAAACTGGCTACTAGTACTCAAAAATTAGAATGTTGTCTGTGTGGAAGAATCAAAGCATAGATATCCTAACTCATCAGTGAGGAGATTGAGGAAATTGGCATGGTGGATTACTACTACTAGCTAGTACTACTGCCTAGTACAACTACTACTAGTAGTAGTTGCTACTACTACTAGTAGTACTACTAGTACTAGTGTGACGTACTAGTAGTAGAAGTACTACTAGTACTACTAGTAGTACTACTAGCAGTACTAGTAGTATGAAAATGTCAAGGAATGGTTGCAGAAATTGCAATGTTGCTGTATGTAAAGAGCATTGGAAAACTTCAACCATCAAGTGTACTAGTAGTGATGTGTTGTAAATGAATATATTTATATTTGTTGAAGAAATATATTCATAATATTGTTTCGTAGTAGTGATGAGAGGGGTGTGATAAGTAGAGTAGTACTAGGACTAATGTACTAGAAGTAGTAGCAAAGAAAAAAAATCCTAAATTTTCAGGGTGGCCAAAATCCTAAATTTTCAGGGTGGCCAACACTCGACGGGAAAAAGTCTAGCCAGAGTCTTTTACCGCTCGTACCGTACCGTATCAAAACTAATCGATCCTTCGCAATGTCTGACAAAACACTACATCAAGAATATTTTTTGGAGCTCGACGTCTTCGGAGCATAGCTACATCCAATTATAATGGTAGCGACCAAACGGAATTTGAGGACTTCGAACTATCGAGATCCCGACGGCAGCAACCTCTCGGAGAATAGTGGTGGCAACTGCCCTGAGAATCGTTTTGACAAGCTGATTCATGACGTGAGCGATCACGGTATCTACGACAGCAAGGGCGAAAAATCGATGGCTCAAAGTGCAGGCCTCTTTCTCAAGATAGGCGTCGGGAGTGCCGTTTTTATTATGGTGCTACACTTTCAGACATCCTGGATCCAAATATACCACGACCATCAGTTTGTCATTGGAGGGGATGAGACCCCAAAATTAAACGGAGGTGGCGGATTTGATAGTCGTCAAAAAATCATCGGCCTCGAAAATCACGATCGCAAAGATCAGGGATACGAACTCTTTCCATTTCTAGTGGATGCCGAAAAGGTTGCATCTTCGCTGTCGTCATCGACCGCTGAATTGAACTCTGTGTTGTCGACGCCAACTATGCCTGACTTCCCTTTAGTCCCACGTCTCGAAAGATGTTTGTTGAAGTGGAAACCTCCACATCCACCACGGTCGCAAGAAGACAAGAGATTAATGTTTTGGATGCCATCTTATCCATCTAGCGGAGGCTCATGTCCCACGAAGAAAGGGGACATAGTACGGCAAGTCATAGATGGGCTCTTTCTCGGCGAACGGATCGATGCTACAGCCTACGGAAACCCGACCAAAGATTTCCACGCTTCTTCGAATAATCTGAAACGTTGCATCGGTGTGAGTGAAACGATTGCATGCACGAGCTCTCATCCGCTGGTCTCGACAACGCCTCACTTACGACACCACGTTTTTCGAGGCGCTGTCATTGTACCGATCAGGAATCCTGCTACTGTCATCCCGCAACACTATACCTCAAAGGACATGGCTTACAGACAAGCCAGCGGACAAATCTCTGTCGAATCATGGAGGCAGATGCGGGATTCGTATTTCGAGGGAAGTCTTGCAGATTGGATGAGAATCATTCGATTCTGGAGAGGTACCAAAAGTCGTCTTGGTGAACCAGCATCTTATTACCAAACCGAATTGTACGTTCCCTACGAAGATCTCATTACAACCGATGTTGTAAAAGCATCTGCGATAATAGAAAAAGTATCCAATCTTTTAGGTGGCGCTGGGTCAACCGAGATAGTGAATGCTTCGAATGCGACGAGCTCTGATTTGACGAAGCATGGTTTCTTTGAAACATCCAAGTCTAAGGCTGACTATGAATGCCTTTGGTATCGCGTGGCACATAAAGAGTGGGAACGATTGCAAAATGTTATTGGACACTACATACCAGCATACACAGTACGGCAGAAAAATATGATGATTCAAAATCTAACAATATACGCAGACGAAATCGAAGCCGAAATTTTAAACGACAAGAGTGATTTGGCCCTGGCATCCTTGCTACGTCGATATGCCTTCCAAATAAAACATTATGTGGTTGTCGAAGATGTTATTTATACCCCTCAGTAGAACAATGAAGCGGTTGGCAACTGATTCAAACCCGTCGTGCTTTTTCGGTCGTCACCACATGACGTGTATACGGGAGTGCATAGAAAATGTTGGAGAACTGTACCTGGTCTTGTCTTCAGGAGAAATGTGATCAGTATGCCACCGCGTTGCCCGCCACTGTTTTTTCAATTTGTTGTTCCAATCAAAATCTATAGCGCCAGTTTTAAATAGTGTTGTTACTCCTGCGATGGTGCCGCTTAATCAGGAAAAAAATATATTCTTGCTGGGTCAATTGAGGCTACTTCTTGAACTACTAGCATTATTTTTATTCTGAAGCAGAAGACTTCTTGTATGTTCATACATCGCATGACATATTCTTTCGTATTATTTCTTATTAAAATACTAGTGATACTAACATCACAATTATGATAATCGTCATGGTACGGAATAAAGAGAAATAGCAGCAAACGAAACTGGTGTAAGAACAAACCGCGTTGCGCGCGCCTCTAATCTGGTACGTATTGCTATCAAACTGAAAAATAACAATCAAATCAAATCAAGTGAAAAACTCCGATTTCTTGATTTCCTTGAGAATCAGAACGTCACCAGAATTTTTTGCTGTACTGTTTCGTACGCATCACAGTACGTACCGTAGTACAGTACGTAGTAGTGTATATCAATCACCTTTTTAGGGATAAATTCATTCCGATTTCATCTCGGGAGCCATCAAGTTTTGAATGATATTTTTTTTAAATTTTGTTCTTGCTATCTGAGCCTCACCAGCCAAAAAAACAAAAAGACAACAATCATAAAAAAGGGAGAAGAAACATGTGTAACAATGACCGACAGAAATTAGTCTCTCCTTCTTCCCAAGGAGCGGCGGCGGTGCCTCGACGCCGTGGTGCAGAACGAGGAACTTGGTATCATTTTCTTACTGGTTCCTTTCATGGCATGTTGGGAATGATGTCGTTTTCGGTGACACTGTTTGCATGGATCCATAACGAATATTTCACCAACGATGATGTGCCGTCGATGTCGTCACTGTTGATCCCAATTGTTTCAGTAATGCTGAGCACGATCTTATCAATTCATTCGAGCTGGTATATGTTGGAACAGTCACCGCATCAGAGCACGATACTAGATTACACGTTGACTCTTCAAAAGCGCATCGGGAAGAGCACCAAAGCCGATGCCAATTTGAGGTCAATAAACATCAAGGTCGTGGCTCCCCATCGAGGAGCATTTCATCGCACGAGCATTATTATGCAGTATGCGAACGCTCGGATTCTAATGCTAATGCAACGACGATACTGGCATCAGTATCGGCACCAGGAGCTTGCTTCATCTTCATTGGGACCATCATTATCAACGGCAATCCCAACAATCCAGAACAGCGTGATCATTTGGGCATTGGTCTCTTTTGCGTGTTTTCGGATGTTACCAGTTCCTGACGTCTCAAAACTGTTCTTTAGTACCACTGCACGACAAACAATAAAAGCCAGAGGCATAGACAAGAGTACTCGGAAACTACCAAGTTTCTGGGCGAATGGAAATAGTGAGTGCAGATTTTTATCATGGTTTGACTTATAAGGAGACAACTTTTAAAGACTTGCATCTATTGCGTGTTGGTTTTTATCTCACAAATTCTTTCCAGGTTATTGCTTTGTTTTGCCTATGATCATCAGCGTTTTGGCCGATTTCTGCATGGCAGCATTCTTAGAATATCACTACTACAAGTATCACAGCGAACCCGTACAGCACGGTTTCTCATCGTCGCATTCTCTCTTTCAATTCCATTCGCACTATTGGTTGTCCTTATGGCATCTCTTCTTTCTTCAAATTGTTGCACACGTTATTGCATTTGGATTTACACTGGCTTTCCGCATAAAGTCGAACAACAGGAATAGACAGAACACTGATGGGGTCGTCAAGGCAAATAGTAAATACGGGATTTCACATTTCCTTCKATGCATTAGGAATCTTTTGAATATTCGAACGCTGTATTGGACATGCACCATTGGAGTATACTTCCTGGCCTTGATGGGGCTTTCGAAAGCGACATGCACGCTAAAAGCTTTGACAAGATAGGTGAGGAATGGAAATGTTATTTGGCGTTTTCGTCGAACAGCACGCCGTGTTCTTTGCCATCGCCTAGCGGTTTCTTGATGTTGGGTCACGCGCACACAAGATGAAGTGCAGCGATCAGGTGTCGTATGATGCCGTCGGCGTAAGCAATACAGACAGAGAGATCGACATCGCCGCGATTACATTGCTCAATTGTTTTTTTTTTTTTCACCCCAAAAATCATTAGAAAGCGCTATGTACTGATAAGATATTGTCTTTCTCGGTATTTCGAAACAAGTACAGAGATAATAGTGTAATACATATCTTGCTTTCTTCCTAAAGCAGAGCCAGGCGAAGTAGGAGAAATTTTTAAGACCTCGTTTTGTTATCGATCTCCTTCTCATTCGCACCATCTTGCTAAGAAGATAGCTGTTCATCTTATTGTCACACAGTGCTGTTGAAAGAAGTAAACCGGACATCTCTCTTTTCCTCTCTATTATTCAATCATTTTTATAGTCCAATCCAATTCGTGGCCTTTCGACTTGTCGTTCTTCCAAAAACTGTGTCGATCCAACCCTTCCATCTGTTGACCGCCCCCTTCATTTTTGAAAATCGTAGCGGATCCCTTCTGGTAACATTAGAGCTTGCTTCTAAGGAACTGGGGTGGTCGTCGCTCCAAGAAGGCGTCCCTGCCCTCCTGGGATTCCTTCGACCCATAAAAGAGCCGTGTAAGCTCTCCTCCCAATTGAGCAATCCCGGCCGCCCCATCTTCATCGGCGTTCAGAGCTGCTTTCGTGCAGGCGATCGCCGTCGGTGAGTTCATAGCGATACGACGCACCCATTGGGCCTATCGAACAAGAGTTGTAAGTCGAAGAATAAAAAATGGATGCGGCAGTATAACACACGTCAGAATCTTTTGTGGATCAGAACGAGTCCCTGAACCAAACCGACTTAGCACTTACCGTGCGGCCCTCGAGATCGTCGTGTGGATAGCATGCGTTGATCAAACCGGTGCTGGAAGCTTCCTTGGCGTCCATGTATCGACACAAAAACCAGAGCTCGCGGGCACGTTTTTGTCCGATGAGACGGGCCATCCGCGTGCTTCCGTATCCGGCATCGAAACTGCCCATTCTTGGCCCTGTCTGTACGGTGGAAAAACATTTGTGTGACGAGCGAAACGCAACACAGCGCGTTAGAGCAAAGCAGGGCGAATTTGTTTTTGGCTCGAGGCCTGAGATTTCCCAGAGGACGAGCTCCTTCTTTTGGACCTACCTGACCAAACACAGAGCGTGTGGATGCAATGGTCAGGTCGCTGACCATGTGCAAAATGTGCCCCCCACCAATTGCGTATCCGTCCACGACGCACAGAATGGGTTTCGGAGACCGACGCATCTGGACCTGTAATTCGAGGACTCGCAGTTTCGGCTCTGTTTCGGTCCCGTCCTGGTAGCCCCCGTCGTTCGAACGAACCTGTTGGTCGCCGCCGGCGCAAAAGGAAGGGGTCCGAACGGATTCATCCACATTGGAGGTTAGCACGATCACAGAGATCCGAACGTCGTCGGTGGCGAGCAGCAAGGCCTGCTGAATCTCGCGAATGGTTTGGGGGCGAAACGCGTGGAGGACGTGCGGGCGATTGAAGGCAATCCTGGCGCACCGGTCCTCGGTCGAAATATGATACGTAATGTCCACGAATTTTGGGGGCTCTTGCTGCTGCTTTTGCTGGCGGACATAGTTGGTCCATCGAATGGGCCTCCGGGAAATCAGTTCAAAGCCGTCGCGGTGCTTCGAGGGCGGGGCGGTTCGGGAAGGATTTCGTGCGGCGTCCATGGATGCGACCGCGTTTGGTTGCTCGGTGCTGTTGTTGTCTTTCATTTTTCGTGTGTTTTATAGTTGTGGCTGAGGACTGCGGTATCCTATATTATTGTAGTTGCAACTTCTTCTGTGGCAAGATGGTCTAAAATGGCACTTCGTTCAATATTGCGAGGAAGAAACAACAAATTGAACAGATTTGAGAAAAGTGAATTTTGTTACTGTATCGGTTGGAGTTGTGTCGAGGTTTTCGTACCGTGTATGTTGAGCCTTTGGAAGAACGTTGAACGTGGAACCAAAAAGAAACTAGATAAGAACCTCAACATTTCAAAACGCGTAGCTATGGTACAAAGTGAACCACTATCTACTACACTAAGTATTCGTACTACTACTACTAACTTACAAAACATTGCGGGGAAAGATATTCTAAATTTCGTAGAGAGGTCATTAGGCGAAGGTGTTTCGAGTTGTCTCTGTTGTGATTCTGAGCAATTGTTGTTCTGTTGCAGAAAATATGACCGACACAGCCCGGGGTTGTTCAGCCGCCCTAGTGGCGCTGTCCAGCAAAAATAACCGTAAGGAGCAAGCGAGAGGACGCTTTGCGTGCAATGGACCATCCTTTCAGATCTTTATTGGTTGATGAGTCTCCCTTTCAGTGCCATTTCTTTCAGAGCGGGTGTCCAAAGATACATCACCACCTCCAATATGGCGAGGAACGAACTCAGTTCCCGGCTCGGTTGTTTGTTGACAACGCTAGGACCTTGACCAAGGAAGTGTTCAGTACGGTAATCCGCCACCACCTTCAGAAACTTCTTGGCGTCTTTGCTGTCATAGTATTCTTTAAAATAAGGGTACAGAAACTGCATGAAGGACATCGTGGAAGCATCGACAGGGTCGTGCTTCCGCTGCAAGACCAACCGGTGAAACTCGTACAAATATCGCACGTAGTAGCACAGCCAAAACATGGATTGTTTTGCGTTCTTTCGATCGTGCCTATCGATCTGGAGCAGCTGTGGTGACGGCGATTCCAATGGATCGTTGTCCTCGCTACTAGTTGTCTCGGAGGGGCTGGCAGCATTCTCCGCTCCCCCGTCTGTTTGTGTCCCACCGCTTTCAACGCCATCGGGCGCTTCTTCCCTGTTTGTCTCGGAATTCCCGGGCACTCCTGCGTCGTTTTCGGCGGCAGCAGCAAGGGGAGGGGGAGAGGGCGGAATTGGCGACGGTTCGGTTCTTGATATAGAAATCGATCTCTTTCTCGTCAGTGAATCGACAAGGGACTCGGTGGGATAAGGCTTCGACGACATGAAACCGGAAAGACAGTCCCTTTTTTCCAGGGGCGTTGCCTTGTACAAGAGTTCCACCCTATCGATGTGGGCTTTCAAATCGTTTGGCCCCCGCTGCATGCCAAAAACCTCCATGCATTTTTTCATTTCGTCCATTGCGGACAAAAGCTTTCCGACGTCTATGCAATTGGTACGATCTTCCTCGCTCGTTTTCGATTCTGCCTCGTCCGGAGAACACCTCATGGAGTCCCGAAAGGCCTGGGTCATGCGTTCCATAGAGGATTTTCTCGCCAGCGACTGCGTTGTCTGGTTCGAACTCGGACTTTTGACGTTTCTTGCGGATTTCGGATTATCTCTCTTCTTGGCGATCGAGCCAAAGGCTGGAGGGAGAATCGAAAAAAACGGTGTTCGCTCGTTGGTGGAAGCTTTCGTCATTTTAGGTGTGATTCAATTGCACGTCGGCGTCCCAGAAACAGGTGTGACAACTGTCGTCAATGATGAGTGGGCGTTTTTGCTGCCCTCTTGTTGAAACGATTCTTCCGGTGGGATCTACAGAGGTTTTTTGACACCGCGACAAAGTCAAATACCTTGTTGAACTCATGCGACGTCGTTTTGAAAGAGATTTTTGAATTTTTGACTTAGAGGAACACTTTCTGACGAGAGTACGTAACCGTAAGTATTACATACTTACTATATTTACTTATAGTACATAGGGTAGATAGGATATATTTAACAAAAAGTTTTGAAGAAAAAATCATGAATGAATCTTCGACATGAAGGGACAGGTGCTTCTTTCATTCCCGAGATCTTCCCATTAGGAAAATCGTTGTCATAGACTCCAGAAAGGACGTATCGAATATTCAAGGCTCAAGCCCAACTGCTCACTGTATTGAATTGAACTGCTCCAAGAACGGTTAAGGTTTTGAAAGTATTCAAGCGATAAGTGATTTGCAAAGAAACGGCACTATATCACAATGACAGTCACTTGTAACAGTTTCGCCTGCCTCTTTCTCTTGTGTTTGGTGGCAACAGCGAAAGTGTCTTCGTCTTCGCAAAGAGCAACCGATGCGGACAGCCACGATACGATGGACGTTCCTACAGGAGCTTTGCACAATGGAAAAAAAATACCATTGGTGGGTTTGGGCTGTGCTAGTGGAGTACGCCGAGAGCATGTCTCGAGGGCCCTATCGATAGGTTACCGGTTTCTAGACACGGCTCAGAGCTACAATTGGGGTTACCACGAAGACGAAGTCGGTACGGCAGCCAAGAAATTTATGGATGATAACATTGACGAAGAAATATTCATACAAACGAAGGTCCACCCGGAAGATCTTGGATACGAAGCAACGAAGAGAGCAGTGTATCAATCATTAGAAAGACTCCAGGTGCGAACAATTGATTCTGTCTTGATTCACAAACCACACTGCTGGACAGGTGCATGCACGAAAGAACCAGAAGGAACTTGGCAAGAATCATGGAAGGCTCTTGAAGAGTTATACGATGATGGAATCATCGCTCATTCGATTGGAATCTGCGATGTTTCCGATGACTTGCTGGATGAGCTTCTCTCCCAAAGAATCAAGCCTCACATTATACAGAACTGGATGGACCCCTTTCACCAAGACAAACGCATGAGAGACAGAATACAGAGCCATGGCATATTGTACCAAGCGTATTCGAGCCTGGGGACTCAATGGCACCACCACAAGGGGCATTCAAAAAATCCTGTCATGAACCACCCCGTGCTCCAAGAAATTGCTGAGGCCCACGGTGATGTTGGCGCTGATGTTGGTCAGGTCGTAGTGAATTGGGCAACTACCCGCCACGGGATCTCCGTTTTGCCAGCGTCCACCAATCCGGGTCGCCAAGAGGGTAATCTCCGCAACAGTTTCCGGTTTTCGTTGACCGACGAAGAGCTCGATCGAATCGACGCACTCGACGGCAGAGTCCCGAAGGCCAAATCAAGCAACGAAGTGTCGATTACGTTCACGAGCGACGGCGACACCGCCTCTGGCACGGTCGACGTCTATTGGATCGGCAACGATGGAATCGAGGAAGTGCCCGTCGGATCCGTGGAATCTGGAAGATCCTTGTTTCTCAATTCATACCATGGTCACGTGTTCCGATTCAAAGACAAAGAAAACAATGTATACAGCGATCACACAATCGAGCGACAAGCCGGGATTCAGCAAGTCCACGTGATTACTCCGATCGACGACGAAGAGCTTTGATGAAGTTGGATTGGGCATGCAGCTTTAAATGCATTGTTCAGTCGACACGCAAATGTAGCACTATGCATTTTTATCAATAACATAAGAGATATGTAGTTTTTCAGTGATTCAATCATCAATATATATATATATATATATATATATTATTTTTGTCTGAATTATATTATCCCAACAGCGAAGGACCATATCGATCTTTCGACAGGAATTATTGTAAAATGTTATAAAGAGCCCTCGTTTCTCGATGAATCAATCGTAGTTATTGTTTTCATTTGTTGTCCCCCTCGTCCTTCTTTTCCTCCAATCAAGCCACCGAGACCAGGTAGCGTCGGTTTTTTAATTATCTCGCTCCACTTTGGAATCATGCCCCTTACATTTTCAGTGCTTACGTCGTATACGATGTCGGTAGCGGTGATTCCGGGAATCATAGTTTCCCATACAATCTGAGACATTAATGACGGCAGGGACAGGAACAGCCCGAATCCAATCGTCACTGCGATCTTCACGTATTTTCGAACCAGTATTGTAGATGGATAGTTACCATTGCTACCACTGCCGCCAACTTCTGTTTTCTGTGCCATTCTTCCAGAATCATCCGGAGTATGAGTGGTTTCTTTTTCGTCTTCATCGCCCACCTCACTGAGCTCGTCAACAGGCGTAGCAGCCAAGGCGACACCATAGCCAACAAGACCTGCGCCCACCATAGTCTTGCAACAGTTTACGGCAAAATGGAAGGAGAACGGCCCGACTATTTGAGACCAAGGTGCCATTGCTATTTCCTCGGCTGTCGATTGTCTCTTCTGCAAATCGTATTCAATGATCTGCCTCTCAACTTCAACCCTACCGCACTCAAGAGCTTGGTTTGCTCTTCTTCGTAGACGCAGGACAGGATAGGATACATGCGAGGGAAAGTTGGCATTTGCTGAATGCTTTGCAGTTTAAAACACGCTCAGTGCAGTCAAATTAGCGGAGCAGGTGGTACGAGTTCCTTCTTGGTATGCGTTCTACAATCACCGGCAAGCCTAATGCAATCACCAAATATCGAACCAGCAAACATCGAAATCTTCTAAGAAATTCCTTCAGCATGGAAGTTACCTTGTACTGTATTTACACTACTCGTACATACGGTAGCGTGAGGAAAGAAACTCGAATCGATGAAGAAAAAGCATTACGTAACGATACGTCCTTCCTCGTCCCGTACCGTACGGTACCCGTTACGGTACCGGTAGGGTGAACCTTGGGAAATAGAGCTATTAAAGGCAAGCCCCGTAGTGGCAAGTTATTGGCAATCCCCGTACAAATACTAATAGAAATTTTTAGCTCATTTTTACAGTTAAAACCAGTTAAAAAWGGCRTCCAABGGACGAAAATAAAAATATTTCCATTGTTTAATTTCTCGCTGGTCCTAAAATATTTCTATTAGTGCTCCTTACTACTKGGGATATAAAATCAGTGGTTACTACTTGAGAATTAATATTAGTGCTTACTACTGGATCACCTCCATTACTACTTACTAGTTGGGATGCCATAGTAGTGAACACTGCGAACTGCTGGGTAAGGGGATTCTGTTAGTGCTGCGAGAGGTGATCCAGTAGTAAGCACTAATATTAATTCTCAAGTAGTAACCACTGATTTTATATCCCCAGTAGTAAGGAGCACTAATAGAAATATTTTGTGACATAGTTTTTTTGTTTGGAGGGGGGGGGGAGAGGGGAAAAAAAGTAGGGAAAATGAGAAAAAATTGACACCCGGGGAATTGCCAATAACTTGCCACTACGGGGCTTGCCTTTAATAGCTCTATTGGGAAAGCTAGGAATCATCCATCGTTGCAGGCCTTGAGCACGTACGTACGATCGCTGGTACCCGTAGCGTAAATTCCCTGACGAAACATGGTTACAAGTAGGTGCTATCTAAAGGTACGTACCAGTTAAAACTAAAGGGGCATGATGATACAACGATGCGTCGTAGAAGAGGATGTAGATTAAATATTAATGTACACGTTCACAAAGCTCGGATGAAGATAACACCCGGGCTAGTCGTGACTTATGCTTTTGCGTATCTCTACCAGTAGAAGTTCCATAGATGCAAGCGACGCCCCACGTTAGGGGTCACATTTATCATAGCTGCAAACGGGAGACTGACGCATTTAGAGTTCTCCGACGATTGGGACGGATCCTCCGAGTTGCTCGTGGACCATAAGCCCGAGGATTCCGAACATGGCGGCACGTCCGTTGTTCAATTCAATGGCACGCTTCGAGAGCTTAGCTTCTTCGCTGAACTTGTCCCATCCGAAATCGATGTAGTCGTTACGGAAGTCACCGACGAATTCTCCTCCGGTGATATCCTTCATGATGGACAGTTCCAAAACAGCGATGAAGGCAAGAATCTGTGCCAAACCTCCTCCGGGGATGGCGTCAGGGCCCTGGATGGCGGCCCATCCGTTGGGGAAGGAAGCGAACGCGTCACCGGACTTGTCGATGTCACCAGGAAGGTGGACTCCGTATCGGGTGGTGATTTGTCCTAGGAAGGCAAGCATCGCAATACGTCCGTGCTTGATTTCAACAAATCGAAGACGATCGAATTGTTCTTGATCACCGCTTTCAACGAGGCCGAGGGGATCGAAGAATCCAAGCGGGGGCTGAGCTCCAAGGGCGTCCTCGAAGGCATTGAGGGAGGTGGAGGCAGCCTTTTGCTGGGCAGGAGCGAAAGCAGCAGCGGTGGCGATGAGGGAGGCAAAGATGGCAGACTTCATTTTGATAGGAGATGTGTTGGTTTATGACTCGAAAACGGTTTGGAGCAATTAGCTTTGCTTCGAGACCTCTCCAGAAGTTCCGGTAGACTAGGAGAAACAAGCGTAAGGTATGGATTTTTCACCTCAGTATCAAAGATCGCGAAGATACCTTCAATCAAAAGAGCATTGTGCGCGTTGCCTCAAGAGTTCAAGCTTCATTGGCTCGCGCGTGTCCAAAAATCTCATCTGAAATACTTCGTACGTACAGGTCGTATCGTACAGTACGAGTATTTATCTTCCCCTACGGTACCACGGTGTGATCTTAATTGCCATTATTAACGGTACGTGTAATGTATGCAGTAAAGAGTGAGGTTATTCACGAGCTATTCGTGATTGGCTAAAAATAACCCGGATTTTGGTGAAGAAAAAAGTGTCAAAACTCGGTGTTCCTCCTACAAGTACGAGTACCGTACGGTGCGGTACCGTACGTACCTGGTTCCTAGATTAGAAGGAGAAAAAAATAGTGATGGCAATCATAGTAGGTTTGGTACGAGTACTATACATACGATAGGAATGGTACACGGGTATGCTCATACAATGATTCATTGTCGAAGAACCTCTGAGTCACGATGATGTCATCGAACAGAACTCCATCCAATGTTCCATTCTACATTCTATTTCTGTTTAACTTAGGGTACAGGACCTTACCGTACTTGGTACGGTATGAACTCAAGATTGATCTACACCCTCGGTACGTATCGTACCGTACAGTATTTCAACAGATCAACTCATTAGATAGTACCTCGTACCGTAGATAGCCCAGGATTTTCGTCAAACAGAGTAAATGTACGTAATTTTCGTAGGAACACATTCGGAATTGCTCGCCGTGGGCTCCAACTTTTGCGAAAGAAACAATAGTTTGCAGCAGATGACTTGTTTCAGCGTGGGGGCCATTGCAATTGTACATAAATGACGTCCTGTCACGGAATGAAACGCTGGCTCCTATGATTCCTTCACTAAGAATACAATATTCAAAAGTTTCCATTTGCAGGGCATCTCAAAATACCAGTTTTTGGACGGAGGAAGATTCATTTTTCAATACACGTTTAATAAGTACCGGTACGAACTCAAAAGTACCGTGTTAATTGCAACAACCGTATTTAATTTGTTGTGAAGTACTACGAGGCCGATTCCAGATAATATCATGCGTTGTCACTATTGTAACAATACGCGATACATGTAGTTTGTTATCAATAATTATCGAATTGAGTACGGTAGTGTAGGAAATATCCATGGAATGAATACTTCCACAGATACGAAAATGACTTCCGAAAATAGCATACCCCTCATCCAGCCTATCCCCATCCTCTTAGGTGGCTTGACCGCTCTTGCCTGCGTCTTCGTTGGTACTTGGTGGTTGTACCGAAAGAAAACAGATCGCAGGACTAGCACAACGAGAAACGACGACGACGACGACGACGACACATGCGAATATCCGCCCACTCCAGGTGATAGACACTGGCTGTGGGGACATGCCCTGAGCCTGCAACCCTCGTTACTAGGGCTTCCTGACAATATCTCTCACGACGTTCTCTTTTTGGCGTGGATGAAAAAGTTGAAAAGCAAAACTGTAATGTTCGACCTTCCTATAGGCCGAATGATCGTCGTTGGGGACGCAGCAGTTGCGAAACATGTACTGCAATCGAAAACAAAAAGTGCATTTCCAAAGTCTCCTAGTTACAAGAGTGTCCATCCGGTTGTCGGAAGCACAAGCATTGTGGTACTGGAAGGAAAGGAATGGCAAACCCAACGTCGGCTTTATAATCCAGGATTTTCACCAGACTATCTCAAGAGCACAGTGTCCATCATCGCACAGAAATGCGATCGATTTTTGACGGCCTGTGACGAAGAGGATATCGACAAGGACTTGCCGACAAATTTGCTGGATCGGTCCGTCGATTTGACTTCCGACGTCATTGCACAGGTGGCATTCGGAGAAGATTGGGGATACTTTTCGGGCGACGAAGGCACCAACGAAGACAAAAACACAAACATCCAGATGAGGAAGGACGGTCTTGAAACTTTAATCAACTTTCGAGAACTAACCCTGTACATTGGCAAAAATCAAAAGCAATTTTTCCAACGGATGTTCAATGTTCTCAGGATGTATAGGAGTTGGCGTTTGTCCGTATCAATCGATCGAGCTTTTGAACGCCTCGTGCGAAGGCGTCTCGATAGTGTTCGTCGTTCCGGAAACATCCAACCAACGAATCAAAAGGATATTCTTTCTTTGACGTTGTCAAGCTTCCTCCAAGAGTCAAAAAACAATTCTTTTTCCATTAGCTCGGATCACATCAAAAGTATGACGCATCAGCTCAAAACCTTTTACTTTGCAGGACACGATACAACCGCAACGACGATTTCTTGGGCGTTCTGGCTTCTTGCGCAGCACCCAGAAAAAATGGAAAAAGCCAGGCAGGAAGTCCGCGACATCATTGGGCTAGAGTGGACAGAAAATGTCATCAAGAATGGAAAAAACTTGGAGCATAATTTGACGTACGAAAAACTACAACAATGTCAATATCTTGAATGCATTGCACGCGAGAGCCTCCGCCTCTATCCTCCAGCTGCAACTACGCGGTATGCGATTGATCCCGACTCGCGGTTTGGGAATCTCCAGTTAGGTGCGAGCATGATTCATTTGAATGTCTATGCCATTCAGCGAGATCCGGATGTCTGGGGTCCAGATGCAAACGATTTCGTACCAGAACGGTTTTTGGGAGACGAGGGTCGAAATCTTATTTCATCGCATTCGTACCTTCCATTCAGCAAGGGATCTCGGGATTGTATTGGGAAATATTTTGCCTTGTTGGAAGCAAAAATTGCAATAGCTGCTCTTGTTACCAGATACGATGGAGTACCGTTGGATAAAGAAAATGAGGTTTATATGGCAAGGATAACATCCCTTCCAGAGAATGGATGCAAAATGAAACTGTCTCGCCGAGTTCTTTGATATCTTTGACGATGCTATTCAATATTTGTACTTTATTCTTATCGTAATGTAATTCTTTCTCATACCCCCTAGTTTTGCAGCGTTCGCTTTCTATGGGTGCAAATAGATTTCATTGTTCATGCTGGACTCAGAGTTTGACACTGGAAACAATCTACCATCAAAGTTTATTTCACTGCCTGTCCTGGCTCGCTCAGATTCGTTCTAGTAACTACTGAGTTTGAACCATTATTATTATTTGTATTCTGGTTTCAAAAGGTTTAGTATATGGGTCTAAAAATCGAAAATTTCTAATCGAATCGAGACTTTGATGTCTGTCCAACGAGTGTTTTGTAAAGACACCCGTTTGTAGATGTATAAAATGAAAAGCGTTGTTGCTCTCCAAAACAAGCTCCTCCCTATTGCACCTCGCATCCCTCTTTGTTGGCGGAACGTTCGTATCCATTATAGTTATATACCTGACCGTCGGCATAAATAATCTCCCTACATATTTCCATGATGATTAATTGTCGAAGTGAATATTAGTACAGAATGATGAAAACGAATTGGCGATTGGAGGGTGTGTGAGACATGGAACGCTTTTATGAGCCGGCAATCCCTGACTTTACACTTTCATTCTTCATCGAAACAAGATCTAGAAAACTGCTAACATCACCAGTCAAAACAGTCAAAAACTTACCAGTTTCCGGACTTCTCGAGCGGAAGCAAAGGTTCTTGGTTCTCCTGTTTTTGGCCGACTTCCTCTAATATATCAACCATTCCGTTGAATAGGGATGCGTGCATCTCAAGACGAAAGTAATAATCTTCATCCAATCCGCATCCATTTTGAGGTTCAATGAACCATACATCCAAGTCGTTGTCTAGGATGAAATCCGCGCAATAAAACTGGAAGGAATTTTCCGTTGAAATGTCGGGATCCTCGTCGTTAAGATTTGGGACCGCAAATGATTCGTCTTTCATGATTTCGATCATTTCTCCTAAGGCGTGCTTGAATTGGTTCCGAACGTGCTCGACGGGCGTGTTCCCATTTGGGAATAGTGGTCGCGTCTTCTGTTTCTTTTTGTGGTGTTTGTTGAGGGTCTCCTCCAATTGTGAAAAATCGGCCTTTCCTTCGGCTCCCAATCCCGTATGCGATGTTAGATGAGACGTCGTATCGGTGAAGGAAGTTTCGCTGTAGGCAGAGTTGCCTACGCGGACGTAACCATCGTGATAAAGTACTACAAGCGGATCAAGACTGGCCACAAACCAGTACATTCGTACATCGAATTTGCGTTGGTTCCACGTCATTTCGTTGCAGATGTATCGCTGAATAATACTCTCCTCTACATCGTCCTCGTCTTCACTGCCGCTGGAGTCTTTTTTGTCATTCGCGAGAATACTTTCGATCGTTCGGATGGAGTCGTCCGGTAATGTTAGGAGTTCCGGGCTATTCGGTGCCATAATTGTGATTCCTTTCCCCTGATTAACGTTGGAAAGTTTGTGAACCCAAGGATAATTTTTGCCATTGCCTTTCTCCAAAACGTGACGAAAGGCCTCAACTTCCTTTTTATTCTCGGTCAGCATATAGGATTCTGGCACGTAAACACTCGGGGGCTTTCCAGTTGCCTCCTCGTACTGTTTGTAGTAGTAGACAAAATCGCTCTTCCGATTCCATTTTTCCAGCCCTGGAATATAATTGAATCGCTGCCAGGGCAAGAGCTCCGTGGCCCAGTCTGCTTCGTTATAGTATGTATATATAAGGTGGGCATTGTCTGTGTCGTCAACTCGGACCCAACCTCTGGAACGTAGTGCCCGAGCAATAGGCTGGGAGATCTTCTTTCCATCATAGTAGAAGGTCTTGCGAAATTGAGGAGGGACCGGGGTAAAAAATTTTCGATGCCTTCCGCTGGTTTCGTCGATCCGAATGTCCTGAAAGGCCGCTTTTCGTTTCGAATCCAGTGTGTTCCCAAACCAATTTGCGAATCCGACCATATCTTTCGGACAAGATTGCGAGATTTCTTTGGTTGTCGATCTCAAAACCCATTGATATACTACGAAAAAGGTTGTAAAGTTCGTTGCAATAAGTAGAGAGGCGAACAGGAACGCATTCTTCCTATTGGCATGTGCCCCAAACAGCTGTCGCTTGAATTTATCGTGCCTGGCAATAGATGATGATTTCTCGATGTCCATGCCATCGCACAACGAGTCCGTCGGTGATGCGGAGCCGTGGGTTGGCGACTTCCTGCTTCGTAGCATTGTCGATAATGTGTTCTCCTCCATAGTTGAATGCGTTCACGGGTGGCCCGAGACAATGTGATTATCGGTTATTGTGCTTGTACTAGTTCGCTTGTTACTTTTTGCATCGAGAGCGTATTCTTGATTTTTACGATCCTCCGAAAAACGCGATAGTATCGGTACGTACCGTACCGTGTGGGTACGGTACTCGTACTCATCTGCGATAGAGCACATGGTTTGCACACTACCAATACCGTAGGAGGGAAAACGACAAAAATGTGGGTCGACGCTTTTTGAATTTTAACTAGGCTTAATTGAGAGCGCGGGAGCCGCTGCACGCGACTTGTCTTGCGGGACCACGTGCAAAGAAAATGCCGCACGATCTCACATGTTGTATGGAATAACGCTATGAATTTCTATTTAACGTAGTGAGTACCAGTACCGTAATCTAAAATCTGACTGCCGTACAGAACGAGTGAGGCACGGTACGAGGTATCGCGCTGCATTTTTGACATACGGTACTACAGTATGAGTCATAACTTTGCGAGCAGTTTTTGGTACTAGTGATGCTGGGTAAGGGGGACTTCTGTTGGTGCTGCTCCCCCCTCTCGCAGCAAGGAATGAAACCATCGAGAAACACGGAACTCGTAATTCTACCGAACTAGAAAGTAGGTAAATGTACTCGAAATCTTTACTCTATTTTCTATTCACAGTCTTGAAAACGATGAATATTGTCAAAAATAAATAAGCCCTAGACTTCAATGCGTAATTGTGTTTCAACCTTCGTAGTATTAGAGTAATATTTTTTGGTCGCTTTTTCAGTGGTGGGTAAAAACGCACCATAGTGACCTCGTGGATCGTGAGAAAACCGATTGAGAATTTAGTACGACAGACGCTCGCCTTCTTTTCTTTACTGTATTTTTGATACGAGATGTATTGTGGTTCAGTACTGGCACGAAGTGTGACAAAAGTGCGCAATTTTTCTCTGCAATCGAGTCAGCGACGACCTATGAATGAATCATCCATCATCAATAGACAATACTGGTAGCATCGTTTGAGCACAGCGTACCGTAGGTATCACCATTCTCCATCGAATTTCTACAGAAGTGTTGGTTGATATTTTCTTTGCCTGCCAATGGTCATATTTTCTATACCGGAAGGCCTTTCAGAAAAGAAGGCAATTGTGAAGAGGCGACGCAATCCGTAGTTGAGAATTAAGATGCCGATGATGAACTGCTCAACAAGAGTGATCCTCCTACTTGCCCTCCTTGGAGTTGTTCATGGTCAGGGATGTACCAATACGTGCCCTCCTATCAATTTTGGTGTCGTAGTTCCCGCTTTGTGCGAAGGTGACTTGATCGACKGAACGTCAAACATCAACGGCGAGAATGTTCAAGCAGATGTGAATCGGATCTACGATATTTGTTATCCCAACGACTCCAACACCGCTAGTTCCTTTCGCTTTGACGACTTTCGCGGGGTCAACACAGTGACAGTTATTGCCAATTATTATACGGGTTGCAATGCAGGACGCCGCGAGAGTGGTGTCTTTGCTCACGTGGCACAGAAATACTACGACATTTACGGTCCTGACAGAGTCCATTTCATCCAATCTGTCAAAGGGGGAGGTACTTGCGACCAATGGTCTGCCATCTATCAGGAAGACGCGGAAGATCTATTTCCCGAATCCGATACTGTTCCCAATGAAATGCCCTGGTCGGTCGATGACTCTGCATACACGCTTCGGGACGAACTATTCACCAGTCCCTTCGGGCATCCTGCGTACGTGGTCCTCGACGGAAACCTGCGAATAAAACACAAATTTATTGGTCCATGCTGCGGTTACGAACGATACAGAGATTGTACTCCAGACATTGCACGTACCCTTGACGATACCCTCAGTGGTTATCTTGACGCGATCTTGAACGACGATGAATTCGAATTGATCGGTGGCACCGGAAGTGAAAGCGGAAACGACGAGATTCCTTCGAACGAACAAGGCAACTCTGAAGAACAAGCGGATGATAACATAGTAGATGCAAATTGTGAGTGGTCCGATTGGTCGGCCTGTAGTATTCGTTGTGGACCCACTGTGGGCCAACAGATAAGATACAAGGACAAAAGGTGTGCCGTTGCGAATACAGATATTGCCATAGAACGAAACAGTCCCTTTTTGGAGTTATCTGATTTGTTCGAATCACGCCCCTGCCAGGCTGATAATTCTGCGAACTGCAACGTCGAAGATGGTGGCCTCGCTTGCGTCCCGGAATTCGGTGAACGCTGGCAAGTGCGTACCATCGTAAGAGATCTCGATTCTCCTCGGGACGTCAAGTTTCACCCGACACCAGGATACCATCTCGGCAATTCGACCGAGGGCCGAAACTTTGTCACACCATCAAACAGCGACGAAGCATGGGTTATCAACGGAAACAATCACACGATCTCAATCATGCCTGCCATTGATACCGCCTACCAAACCACCTTCTCTAGAACCGACCGTGGGTATTACCACTACATGATAAATGGAACTGCCATCAGTTTCAATTCTGTCGCAGACAGTGGTCGAACCAGCGACCGAGACACTTTCAACTACTGGTCCATTTGCAACGACAATGCTAACACATACGTTGGTTCAAAAGAACCGAATTATTTCATGGGGCCGACGCTGTACAACTCCGACCCAAAAAAGCGCAATCTCGTCAATCGGCTTGGGGAACAATGCGATACAGCATCTGGCTCAACCACCAAGGACGAGCCGTGTTACTTTTTGCATTCCGACATGCTTCACGAAGCGCCAAGTTGTCGGGGGATTGTCCACGACCCAGAAATCGAAACGGCCTACGGGACAGTCTATTGGGCATTCGATTCCACCGGAAACCGACAAAACGGGCAGCTTGTGAGGTTTGACTTTCAGCAACCCCACGGACCTGGATCGATGGACCACTCAATCGCAAGCGTCCGACGGTATGTAGAAATCGAACTGGAAACAGCCGAAGAAGCGCAAGAACAAGCAGGCGTGCATGCCGGTGAGTAAAAGAACAGAAAGAAAGAGACAGCATGATCTAGATCGAGTAGAACTACAAACGGTGCATAAATGAAAACTGAGAACACAGAAAGATTTTCTGGAGCAACTTTCTCTCGTGCTCAAATTCCGTATTTCTTCTAATCCATTTGATTTATTCGTCTTTTGTTCCCTACAATATTACATTGAAAATCAAGGTATGGTAATGCACCCAACCCGAAGAGAATTGTTCGTCGCAGTGCCAGGAAAGAATCAAATTTTGAGAGTAAAAGCCGACTCAGGTCGATTCGCTCGAACAGGTATGTTTCGTGATAACTTCCTTTCTGAAAGTGTTGTCAAAAAGTAACCTGTCGCTTGGATGTCATGCAGAAACATTGATGTAACACATATCCCAATTGTTCATGTTCATTTGATATATATCAACAGCACGAGAAGAATACCCTATCTTTTCAAATCGTTTGCCATCTTTTGAGTACAGCATTTGGGAATGCGTTGACAGCGTCGTCTTCGTTTCTGACATAAATCAACCGTCAGGAATGGCGCTAAGTTTAGACGGAAAGCGTCTCTACGTAGCCGAACGTGGAACCGGAATGATCCACGCATACGAGATCGAGACAGGAGCTTTCCTACACATGATTCCTACAACATTCCGTACGATTGGTGGTATGGATTTTTCTCCAAACGGAGGAGAACTCTACTTTGTGGATGACGAAACGAATTCGTTGAACTCTGTTCGCGTATTATCTGAGTGCTCTCAAGACTACACACCGCGAACTAGTCCCAAGTATTCCTCCGAATTACAATCTGCTCGTGATGCTTTGGACGTAGAGAATCCTTTCGATTTGATTCCCGAAGTGTGCACGGTAGACCCTATTGTACCCAATGCATCACTGTTTGAACAGGTCCACGATGATTCGGGATACGCGAGTGATAATCCAGACGTGCAGTCTGAAATGGCTGGTATGGATGCTGCTGCAGCCCTTTTGGCCAATCGAACCGATTGCGAATACGACAGTGAACTCAATTTTGATGCATTGCTTCTGGGTGGATATTTTTGCCACACATGTCTGCCAGAAAAGGAGAGAACTTGTGGCGACGGAGGAACATGCACCAACGTGCAGTGGAGGGGATACATTTGCGACAACGAATTCAAAATTGTCGCTGATGACGAAAGCAATCTCCCTGGAAGTTACTTGTTACAAACTATGAATGGCACCAACGTGGATGCCAATGAGCTGGTACTGAAGCCAGGAGTTACATATAGATTCTCTATGGAAGTTGAGGACGAGGAAATTTGCATGACGACACGGGTATCACGGAAGAATCGAGAGGACTTCAAGGTCGGGTCTGTATCTCGCAACGGTGGCACCGACCGCGAACGACTATCATCACTCAATGCTAACGATCGAGAGGGGAATCAGCTAGTGACACTTGGATGCGCAACAAATAGTGTGTTAGTATTAAATACAGGCGAATCAAAAATGACTGGTCCACAGATTTACGTTAACGTGTTGGGTGATCCTGTATTCACTGTTCAGATGGAAACGCTCAATGAATCTTCTGCCAGCTCAGAATTAAAGGTTGGAGGTTTCTTAGGGAGTCTGGTTGTTGCAATCCTACTTAGTTTGGCATAAAGAGATAAATTTTCATTTTGAATCGATGATAGTTTTGCACTCCCAGTGTTTAAATTTTTAGATTAAATATTTTGGCCAGCGCCGATAACAACTCTATATGAGAAGTTGCAACATCGACCAGATCGTCGATTCCAACGTGACGCAAGTTCCAACCAGATAATTGCCAATTTCAGATTTGAATTAGGACTGTAAAGTGGTGGTTCCTGTCTTGGAATACAAATTAACTTTTGTTTTCTCTACAAATTTAGTTGTCCTTCCATTCCCTGCCAGTAGATATTCATGCTGAAGTGCAAGCAAACTAGAATGAAATTAAACAATTAATAGTACTTGGAACAAATGATTGCGGGATGATAGTAGCGAAGAAGTCGCAACAAAAGTCTTTCTAACAATAAACTATTTTGCTTTCTATTGTATGCTGGTGTGCAAAGCGTTCGATCTTGAGGTACAAACTTCAGTTTCTTGTGCGATAGATGATTGATTCGATCAATGATGCACGCTGAGTCTCTTGTTGTCTATATTATTTTTTCTTGATGGCCGATGACTGATGTCGACGTAAGAGCATTAATACAAGTTCGCGGTCATTGATAGAATTGTTGCACACGAAAAATATCTATCTATACGCTCAAGTTGAGAGACAATCCAAGATTTCCTGGTCCAACTCCGTTTGTGAATCCATTGGGTCCCAAAAATGGTGCATACTCGTCAGGAACACAGGACAACTGGACGTTCGCTCTTCCCTGTTGGTAGGATCCCTGTAGGTTAAAGTTAGTGTCAGGGATTCGGTAGGCAACTCCAACGTTCCATGGCGACGACTGTCCGTAAAGCTGCATTTGCAATTGTTGGATCATTTGTTGCTGAGATTGCAAAAATTGCATAGCAGTTTGTTGTTGCTGAGCACTCTTCATTTGAACCTCGGTAGCTTTTTGCCCACTCTCAGCTAATCGGTTCATAACTGTTTGGAGGGCTGCGCGTTCTCCAGTAAAATCCCAACCACCATCAGCCTCGCTAGCGTCGCTAACCTCATCCCGTGTCGACCTCTCTGCTTCTCTGGCAAAGAAAGCATCAGCCTGAAGCATGGCCTCGTATTCTGAGGTTCCGCCACCAGAAGCCTTTGAAGCAGCCCTGTAATTCTGAAGGGCCTGTTCTCGCAATAAGGCTAATTGTTTAAGGTAAAGCACCTGGAGAGGAGCATCCAGGGCGGCCTCGATTTGTTCCAGCTTGGCTTCATAGACATCGGAATCATCACCCTCTGGGGCGCTAGAGGCAAATTCCTCAAGAGCCTTGTTCACAATAGTATCAGCTTTGAGTCCTAAATCTTCCACGGTTGTGGATTCGTTAACAATCGATTTGCGCAATTCTTCGATCTGTGTTTGACGAAGCCAAATGAAATCAAAAGATATCCGTTCATGCATACCGAATCATTTTTTATATGATAGTTAGGTTCCACGGGAATTTTTTGTTTATAATTCGCAACATTCATCGTCCAATGGTCAAAATTGTTCCAGTTCAAAAAAGAAGCATCGGGCAAGACACAGTCAAGTTGGAACACAAATATTAGTTAAAGGAATGCATCGACACGAAAATAGATGAGAAGTGTCCTTTAAATCGCACCGACCGCATCCGATTCCGTTTCCAACATTTTTGGATGAGATTCATTACAGATCGTACGCACCGATGGAAGGGTAGAAGCCAAGACCTGTTCCTTCACAGCATCCAATTTTGAGGCGTACTTTGAGGAGGCTCCTCCGCGGGGAATTCCCCAAGGTGCAGTTGTTCTGCTTGCACCGTGCGAAGCAGCATCAGCAAGGGTCAAAGCTGCAAAGAAACTAACCAGAGACAATTTCATCGTTTTTCTGGTGTTGGTCAAAATAGGTTGTCGGAGAAAGATTACAAACGAAGTACAGTCTGTAACACCGGCTATTAAGTTACTTATCGTCGGTCGATCAAGCAGTCTTGATGATGGTTGTATGGATTCTACCTCTGGTTTTAACGCGTGTCTTCTGTAAGCGATATCGTCACGAAATACGCATCAACCGATTTTTGCATTCATGTTATCCTTTGATGTACGAGTACCAAGTACTCGTACCCGTACGTACTACTTACTTCGTATGTCGTTTTGCTTGTCGTTCCAGGTGGCGTGTCAAACAGCGGATCCAAGATAAAATCAAAACTCATAACCTGAGAAGAGAGGTGACTACATTAGTTCCAAAAGCAAAGTTGGAGGGAACTGACACGACTGAATAGGTCACGATCTTCCAATCATCTGATTTCCCAAGCATTCAAAATGTTAGTCAGACAATCAGAATCATCACTCATCACGAGCAAACTGTCGGTTGATTTTGACTAGGTCGACGAAGGAGATGAAGTACGAGTACGGGTACGAGTACAAGTACAAGTACTTGCTCTTTCGAGATTGCACAAATTCCTGAATCCGGCCAATTCCAAGTGCGATTGGAATCAGAAGAGCTTCCAATCTAAGTAGCAAAAGCAACTGATATCAGTAATTATCATGGTACGAAATGCGGACAATGAAACAACAGAATGTTTGCATCCCGTAGCGTTCGCTCGCACAGTAGTTTTTGAGAATTTATCTCTTGGATTCGACTATGCAGATTTTGCCAATTTGCTCCGGATGAATTGAAGCAATTTTGAAAGAATGTCGGTTTGAAACATGCCTTAGTGTCATCTAGCTACGAGATCTTCCCGAGTCAAAATGGTGTTCGGCCTGTAAGCGATGATAGAATAAGGCATCTACACGAATGGAAAAGGCGCACACATGCCTCGTACGACAAACCGCAATTCATTGCAACACGATTGGCGTCGACACTATCAATGCTGATGTTGTCACCTTCTTTCTAGCCACTATCTCATCGTAACTAACATTCTTTCAATTTTTTTGGTTTATCGATCCGCCGTGCTCAGCCAAAGGCTTGTTCAGAGGCGGCTCTGTCTTTGTTGAATTGCATGGAGGAGTCAAAGTGCTTCAAGGAAGATAAAAATAGCGTGTATGACTGCCTCAAGAAACAAAACGATGACCCAACTATGGCTGATGTCTGCAAAGCCCAGCGCAATGCGTATTATTTGTGCAAGCATTCTCAGCTCAACATGCGAACAAGAATTCGCGGGACGAGGGCATATTAAAGGAAGAAGGGACATGGGTGTGTCCAATTTGCCGACTATAGAATATTAGAAGGGATTGAACTATAAAGCTCAGTTTGGATATCTAATCTGTTGGTCTTTTTTTCGGGTGATGGTGAAGACGACTTAAGTACGAAGTGATTGGGTTGGAGTCCCAACCACGACTACGTGCGATTCAACTTTACGTTACATGACGTCTGTTGATTTTTCCCGTGCCAAGACTAGCATCAAAATGTGACAAGGATCATGTCATGGCTCGAGACAGAGGGAACACTTTAAACTGCATTGAGATGGAAAAACAACGCCGATGCGTTAGGGGGAAAAAAGCCAATCACTAGAGTACTCAGAATTAATTTTCTACTTTTGTTCATTTTCTACAACTACGATACTACCCCCGTTTCCAAAATGTCCAGTTCGCAACTTCAAAGATTGTTTCTAGTCAACCTTTGGATACTTTGTGCAACCCGCTCTTTCTAACGGTAAAAGTGGTGTCGATGGATCTACTCGCGCGCAAGTAATTTGACTCTAAGATGATCATGGCTACAGACTGCAGACCACTCAAGAAAATGAGATTTTTAATGCTCAGCGCTGAAAATTTATTACACCTTCGAATAACCAATACTTTTATGTATTATACCTACCGTAGATTCGTCACAAGAATGATGAAGTGAGCAAAATATATCTATGAGTGATTGTGAAGATGGAAATGAAGCTGTTGCACACTAGAGACTTCTACAAGCAGAAATTGAGTCCATTCTCAAGCTTGGAATAAGGCATATCGCGACAAATTGACTGCAATTATGAAAACAAATTAACGCTATTGAAGAAAGAAAAAAATGAAACACTCAAAACTTCATAAATGTGTTTGTTCATTGAAGATCGAAGATTCCATTTTGACCAACGCAGCTACTTCAATGATTGGCGGAAGCCAATTCAGGGGCCGTCAATAAGAATTTTGAAATCAATGGTTTCAACACATTTCCGGTGGGTACCGAATCTCGACTGTTTGCGTACTTATCGAAATCAAGTACGGGGATGTTCAGGGCTTTGGTGACTGGAAGGAGAGGCGACAAAAATGAAAGCATAGCATCGTTGACATTCTCCGATAGATAAGAAATGTGATTGGGGGCGTCCTCTCGATCGAAGACTAATGCTGCACGATCGAATTTTGTTGCAGTGTCGAGCTGAGATTCTTCTAATACCGTATATCCCTGAGGAATTTTAATACCACCACCCCATGACGTAACAGGTCCATCGTTGACAGAAGAAATGAACAAGAGACGGCCCCCAACGACTGGTGTCTGATATTTGGTGGTTGTAGACACTTCAGGTTTGACGTTTCCTAGTGAGGGTAACTCTGGAGCTTTTCCACTGCCCATTAAAACACGATTCCATGAATCATCTCCCATCTGTAATACGGTCCCACATCCTAGACTGTGACCGATGGCCGAGTAAGAAAGGATCGGTTGCGGGACCATATCTTGTACATAAGGAATGAGGAGTTGATTGATCACGACTCGATCCAGGCCTTCTAAACGGGGATATGATGCCTCCAAAGACTCGGGATATTCGGAAGCAACACAAACAAAACCTTGGGCGGTAAGATCTTCGGCGAGATAAGCAAGATCGGAGCGGCTGCCCAAGAACCCATGCGCCAAGAACACCACATTCGTACCAGTCGATGTTACAGAGATCGGAATGTTCTCGCCGTCGACGACCCGTACTGTTGATGCTGTTGTAATGGAAGGATTCAACGCAAAATTTTTGGAAATGAAATCTGGAATAAAATCCCATCTGGCTAACAATTGCCCAATGCGTCGGAGGGAAATCCGATAGCTATATTTAATTTCTGCTGGCTGTGAACCGTTTGCCCCGTTTTGAAATGGATACCAAATGGACACAGGAACGTTTACATCGAACTCGGGTATGGGTAAGGATATTGTTCTGTATGCGATTGCCTTTTGCATTGGCGCACCTTGCGATGTAGATCCTAGCCCGGAGCTGGTGTCGTCGAGTGAAGCAGAGGATGCCAGAAGAGCCTTAGCGCCCATCGGAGCGGCTAGATTAGCCAATACTCCGCAAAAGGAAGCGCCGACAACCTCCCTCCGTGATAAGTTGTTTCTGTTCGATTTTTTCTCTGACAAGGTGCATAAACTTTTATAGTGGTTCGAGTTCCTGGAGGTACAGACGACAGAAGGACAACCCGTTTGTGGTAGTAAAAATCCATGCGTTGTAGTAGCGAGGTATAACACTACACCCACGGAAAGAATCATTTTTTGCATGTGTCCGAAGAATGGAGAAACTGGGAGAAAAAGGTAATTCTTGGAGCCAAATTCTAGAGCTCGAGTCGAGAATGGACCTTAGTCAAGTGATGAGAATATGATCCTCCGAACTGCGTTCAAGGTAGAATTGTGTGGCATTTGTCAGTCGGAAAATACTTCCGGATTCGACTTTTGGTAGTAGTACGAAGTACAACGACTCAGTTACAGTACCGTAGCTCTTTCCAAACTGAAATGAACTTGACGGTTAAAGGATCCTATTTTCCTTTATGTACGAGTAGTACCGTACGTACTCGTATCCACAATCCACAAGATACCGCAAGAGAAACGGGAACGTACCATACTGTACGCTTCGGTCAGTGGTCGGTCATGACCTACGCTACGGTACGATACTCTTAATCGTACTCGCAAGTGAATACTGTAATAGGGGGAGAAAAACTCAAAATCAATTCCTTGTCATGAGATTTGTCCTACGGTACCAGGTACGAGTTTACTCGTACTGTAGAAGATAAATCTCAAATCACGACATCTGTTTTCAAGTGGTTGTACTTTAGTGTTAGGGATAGTGAATTCTTTAAAGATGAGAAAGGGGACCAAAAGTGGTTCCTGTTGAGAACTCCAAATCCCAAATCTCTTCCACGTGGATGCAAGAAGAACTTCAAGTTTCAAGATTGCGTGTGTATTTTGCGGTGGTTTTTGGCGCGTTGTATTTTCGTGATCTTGTTTTTTCAATTTCAATTCATCTTCCCCTTCACAAATATCGAGAACAGACGTGTCGACGTGTAAACTCGTACAAATAGGTTCTGTACGTTCCAAGTGATCAACTGCAAAAAAGGGACCTCTAAGGTTTCTCATGGATATCATCTCGTCGAACGACCTTCTGTAATCAGCCCGAAAGAGTTGCGGCCGTCAAATTAGGAATCGACTTCAATTCGTTTCGACCGTAAAACACTTGACGTCCCTAAAGAACAGGCAGTAGCACCGGAAAAACCCGGATTGAATCAAACCCTCTAAAACGGTACACTCTGTCGTATTTGCAGCGAAAGATCATCGAGATTACATTAATCGAAGATAAATAAGAATGACGAGAAACAACGTATCATCTACAAGAACGATGTTGTCGTTATGGAGTGCCATTCTACTTTTTGTAGCACTGTCGAATTCACATTTGACTGTTGATGCGTTTAACAATGTGAAATATGTCAATAACATGGCGCGGTCGACGGCATCGTCCTCTTCGTCGTTACCTTTTCAAAAAGCACCAGCAGTCGCAGAGGAAGTGAAGAAATCGAAATCAAAGAACGTCGGAAACAACGACGATTCTGGAATGACGGAAGAAGATGAAAATATTTTGTTTGGCCACGATATGCTGGAAGAACGTCACCCCCCCTACCCCAACCGTCACCGTCCCAAGGACCGATCGGGAAATGTTCTTGAGGATCCTACCTTGAAATTGAACGAGCTCGACCATTCTTCTACCGATCCCCTAATCAACAAGTTGCGAACCATTCGGGATTCCAAACTGGATTCTTGCCCGCAACTGTGGACCGAACTTGCTTCGGTAAATCCTGATGGTATCGCCCTTATTGACGATCACCTATGCGACAAACTAAAGATCAGTCTTACTTTTAAACAAATGAACTCCGTTGTCAACCAAGCTGCCTTGGCATTTGGACGAATGGGACTTAAAAAGGGACAGCATGTAGCCATCCTGGCAGAAAATTCTGCCAGGTGGCTACAGGTCGATCATGGAATTCAGAGGGCTGGGGGTGTTTCTGCCGTCCGCGGAGCTGATGCGCCACTAGACGAGTTGCGATACATCTATGAGCACTCTGACTCGGCAGGTATCGTAGCCCTTCAGGGACCACGACTTCTAAACAAACTTCTTAAGGATGCCAAAAATGCTTCGAACGAGTCCTGCCTGGGATTGTCAAACGAGTCGCACGGTCCTGTCAGACACGTCATTTTGATGCATCGGGAGAAGAAAACACAGGCCGATCTGGAATCGATTATGGAAAGCTGCGACAACGAGATCAAGATTTCCTTTTGGGACGATCTTTTGGAACAAGAAGAATCTGCTGCATCAAGTATTCGGGTCTCGGATTTTCCCAAGGTTACCAAAAACGATTTGTCCACTATCGTTTACACTTCTGGAACGACAGGACGGCCGAAGGGAGTTATGCTGACTCATGGTAATCTTTTGCACCAAACTAGCCACCGTTTGGCTCCATCGAAACCTTACGAAGAGTCGGAACCCCTACCGGGAGAAACAATGGTTTCGCTCTTGCCTGTCTGGCACATTACAGAACGATCTTTCGAGCTTTGGATGTTGTCCCGTGGCTGCAAGGTTGTCTATTCATCTATCCGCCATTTCAAAAACGATATGGCTAAGCACAAACCAGAATGGTTGGTCCTAGTGCCGCGAGTCCTGGAAAAGATTGCCACGGGTGTCCAAGACAAGTTTTCCAGCGGAAGTGCCCCCGTCAAGATCTTGAGCAAATTCTTCACTGCGACTGGGAAAATTCGTGCCAAGAATGCCGCCCTTGCAAAAGGCTTGGCGGTCGGAAACTCTAACGACCCATCTGGATTGCAACGTATTGTAAGCAAAGCCGCTGTGACTGCGGTTGCCCCTTTGAACGCAGTCGGTGACAAACTTGTCTGGTCGAAGGTGAAAGAGGGATTTGGTGGCAATCTTAAAACAATCATCAGTGGGGGGTCAGCTTTGGCAGGAAACCTCGAGCAGTTCTACGAGACAGCGGGATTTAAAGTTGTCGTTGGATATGGACTTACAGAATGTGCGCCTCTTCTAGCCTACCGAAGGTTGGATGAAAATCTTGTCACCGCTGGATGTTGCGGCAAACCCTGTTACGATACAGAGGTCCGGGTCGTTGATCCCGAATCGAAGGCGACTGCTTCTTCCGATAGACCATCCCTTCCCGACGGTGAAGTAGGTGTCGTCATTGGACGTGGACCGCAAATCATGAAGGGATATTACAAGAATCCTAAGGCGACAGCGGAAGCCATCGATGAATACGGATGGTTTGACAGTGGTGATCTCGGACGTATCAATCCGGCCACGGGCGATCTTATATTGACCGGGCGTGTCAAGGACACTATTGTTCTCTCAAATGGAGAAAACATTGAACCCACGCCCTTGGAAGATGCCATCATGGGCGGAACCAATGGTTTGGTAGAGCAGGTAATGCTTACGGGGCAAGACGGACGGCGCCTTGTTGCGATTGCCGTCCTCAGTCCTACAGAACTAGCAAATGCGAATTTCTTAGACAAAAATGAAGCGAAGAGACTCCAAGAGGCGAACGAACAAGTCAATGACCCAAAGTGCGAACCAGAAGTCTGCGCCGTCGCTTCAGAACTTCTGAGAGCTGCATCATTGAAACTACGATCCAATGCAGATCTCCAAAAGTCTCTCGAAGCTCTCGTTAAATCGGCTACGAAGGAAGGCTTCCGCGCCTACGAACAGGTTAGTGCGGTATACTTGACGATGGAGCCATTCGCGATGGTCAACGGCCAATTGACGCAGAGCTACAAGGTAAAACGCGATTCTGTGTTTTCGAGGTATGGTAGTGAACTACCGCAATAAATTAATCGTGACATCAATTTAAAATGTAAATTTTTGTTGCATAATTCAGCAATATCAAGCAACGAAATTTTCCCCAGTTGGGAATGATGGATCGTTCGATCGAGAAACAGAAATGAATACAGTAGGTGACATATGTCTGTATGGTCAAGCATTTGGCCATCTCCCCCTCCTACGCACAAACATCTCTTTTAGTAGTAATACGTTTGACATTATTTTTCACGAGATCCCTAACTTGTATTCATACACTATTTTATTGATTGTTTTCTCAATCATGCCAACCTATATTTCTGTGCTCGAAAGCCCAACTTGATGTGTTTTCGTTTTATCACCTCTACATGACAATGATTTTTGCTATGATTACTCTTTACTAGAGGCCTGACAAGCTAGTTGCATCATCACATGATTTCAGAAGCTCTGTGAGAGTCAATCACGAGTTGGTGTTAATTTTCGTGTACTGTACCGTACCAAAGAGCCCTACAAGTCGATCCTCGTGTAAGACAGAATTCCGAACTACAATACCTACCTGTACCTGTGTGAACGGTACCGTACGATACCGTACGTAATGGAAGATCCGAAATATTCTCAAAATAGGTAGAATTTTTGGATATCCCTTTTTAGAACCCGAAACATGTCTCTGTCCAACCTCAAGTGCATAGTAACTGGAGCCTCGTCAGGAATTGGCAAGGCCACTTCGATTTCATTGAGTGCTGCAGGCGCCAAGGTAGTCGGCGTTGGACGGAACGAAGAGTCGTTGAAGGAACTCAAGAACAACGGACAGATTCATGACTATGTTGTGGCGGATTTGGTTGAGCCTGGAGCCTGTGAGCGCATCGTTCAAGAGGCCGTATCAATGTTGGATGGCGAATTGACAACTCTCATTAACAATGCTGGCGTATTAAAGGGAGGAGCAGCTGGAGCACCTGGTACGGATCTATCCAACTATAAATATAACATGACACTCAACACACAGATTCCATTTGAGCTTATGCACTACTCGGTTCCTTACTTGGAAAAACATCCGAACGTTTCCTCGATTATCAACGTAAGTTCTGTAAATGGCAAACAGGCATTTGCTGGATGCCTTTCGTATTGCATGTCGAAAGCGGCATTGGACATGATGGCACGATGCGCTTCGGTCGATTTGGCTCCAAAGGGCATTCGGGTCAACAACGTCAATCCAGGTGTTGTTACAACGAACATACACACTGCTGGGGGACGAATGGACGAAACCCAGTATGCTGCATTCATCAAACGTAGTGTCGAAACGACACATCCATTTGCTCAAAGTCTAGGACGAATCGGCGAAGCTACGGAGGTCGCTGAGCTGATTGTATTCCTGGCAGGAGAGAAGGCGAAATTTCTTACTGGAGAATGTATCGCCATTGATGGCGCACGACAGAACCTAGGTTCAAGATAAACAGCTTTTACGGACAATACAAGCGGTGCATGGATTGGAATTGACGTGGATAAAGCTAAGTTGTGGAAGGAACTTATGGTGAATGGTACGGTAGATAAAGGCAATGATATTGCCTTGCTCTCTTTATTCGTTGCTAGATGATGAATGCACTTTTGTTGAAGTGCGCTTGGCAAGCATACCGGTAGCCCGAATAAAATACCGCCCATTTGATCGACACAGAATATCATTTTTTAATTTATTCAATTTGTTCCTGGACTTCTCTTCCTCTAAATCCAAAGCTAGCCTTGCTGAGATCTTCAAACAAACATTGAAAGGGCTATTCTACAGAGTGCTTTCCCAATAGGAACATTCGAATATAAAAACCATTTTTTTCAGCACAAGTTGTTATCCATATGACCTGTTGACACTGTATACGTGAGATACAACAAACTTCTTACTCTTGGGAAAGAAAATTATTTGCTTCTCTGTTGCATGAATTATCTCCATGAATATTTTCCTAGTAGTTCCATGGTGTTCATCATGCATTACCATGAATGACTCTTCTCTCAACTTTCAAAAATGGCATCTAGTACTCTCTATTCCTCCCAGCAGTTGATTTGCACTGTCCCTTCATTACACATATGAAGCTTACTGCTAGTGATACTACTATGCCCAGTCTAAGAAGAATGTATAAATGGACAAAAATGTGGGTGTTCCCATACTGAAAAATATTTTTATTTTTTACACATAACCAAATAGTACATTAACACTATGAATTCAATTCCCAAAAGATGAGGAAGAATAGAACATCAGAATACTTTGGTGTTACAAACACCACCAATAGTAGTAGTAGTAGTAGTAGTAGTAGTAGTAGTAGTAGTAGTAGTAGTAGTAGTAGTAGTAGTAGTAGTAGNTAGTAGTAGTAGTAGTAGTAGTAGTAGTAGTAGTAGTAGTAGTAGTAGTAGTAGTAGTAGTAGTAGTAGTAGCAGTAGTAGTAGTAGTAGTAGTAGTAGTAGTAGTAGTAGCAGTAGTAGTAGTAGTAGTAGTAGTAGTAGTAGTAGTAGTAGTAGTAGTAGTAGTATTGTTACCAACCACTAATACTAATACTACTAGTACTATGACTACTAGTTGAGTGGAATAGTTTACTAATGATGCACCATGAGGATAAACTGTTTGAGGAGTGAGTTGCACTGGATCACCAGCATCCTCTGTATCACCAGCAACTTGTATCATATCTAGCATCAATCCTTATCAGTATCCTCTGCATTAGCATCCTCCACATCAGCATTATGCATTAGCATCCTCCTCCTCTGCATTAGTCTTCTCCACATTAGCATCCTCCTCTACATTACTAGTCTTCTGTATCAGCATTCCATATCATTATTCTGTTTGTTCTGCAGCACCACCAAAGGCTATAGTAGTAGTGTCTGTAGCATCTGTGGCATCTGCACCACCAGTATCTGTATCAGTGTTGTTTGTCATCAACAATATTCAGTGAATTAGTATTAGTAGGATCCTCCTCCATATCAGCAGCATCCTTCTCTGTAGTACTACTATCAGTAGTGTCCTCAGTATCAGCAGCATCTGCATTCAATAATTGGCATCCTCCTTTCCATTTTGGTGCTGTATATCATACTAGCAGTATCATTCTAGTATGTGGTATTACCAGTGGGTGGTATCATATCAGTATCCCATTATTAGTACCATGGTAATTCTTGGTTTTTTGGGGTGCTGCTTTGTTATTGAACTTATGACAGTTCTTTGGTGGTTGTAGTACAGTGTAGCATTGGTTTGCCTGTTGTTTCACAGCAGAATTTTGATTACTACTACTTAGAGAATGCAAAGAAATGAGTTTACAAAATACTGTAGTGAAATGCAAGGAAATGACTTTATAATTGACTAAAAATGAAACCATGCAAGGAAATAGGCCATTCCCAGAATATCAGGTGCCTAGACCCAGATATAGGCTTCTGGGATTATGGGAATCAAAGAAAAAGATCTTAATATTATATTTAACCTTGTGAACTAGAAGAGGCACAACAGCTTGAACCATTACTTCTGGGGAAAATAATGCTCCTAGCTGCTCTGAGGGGCAGCACCTCCCTCCAAGGAGTCGTTGTGTAGGAGCAACTGTGGGATTATATGAATCACATGTAGAAGGTCCTATACCATAGCACGCCTGCCTTGCCATAGGTCATGTGTAGAACATGGAATCCTCTTTTCTGATTGGATAACTTATTCTTTTGCCACCAAAAAGAACACTCCTCACATACCACTATATTCCACAACACAAATCATGATAGGACCTTGCAACAACAAATAAAGCTTCTTCCCCTTGCAAAAAATCTTTCAAACAATCAACTGAAACTCTTGAAAAGCTCTATATTTCTTAATCAATTGGTTTTGGCAGTTGAAAGGTAGCAGTATTTCAATGTGTTGATGCTCCTTAAGACAATCATTTTCTCCTGATAGGCATTTCTTTTGGACAATGAGGATAAAGAGAGAAAAAGAGAAGACACTTGAAGGAGGGACAGGAAAACACAAAGAATTGTACTCTGAAGATATGCTGAATCTCCCTTTGTATTTCTTCTTTATTCTGGTACTGATCAGGGACTTCTAAATTGCTGTGGTGTTGATCACAGGGTCTTCAGAGAACTCCTTGCCATCTTTGAACCAGTATTTAAGAGATATATGATTGACAGCAAGGAGGAGAATGCCATCTGATCACAGACTCTGTCAAAGAATGGAAGACCAATAGGTAGGAAGCACAAGGCAAATGCAACCTTTTGTCTTGGATTAGTGCTATTTTGTATAAAATGAGACAATATTTTGCAAGATCCTCATCACTAGCCTTTGGACTGACCTCAACTGCGCTACTAGAGCATCATTTGGCTTCCCAATGACATGGATCTATAAGTAATTATATCAACTTGGACTGGGCGCTTAGTCTGGTGGTCTAGAGTTGTTTTTTGATAGAGTTCTGACCTATTTTCTAACCACCAGAAGCCGGTCTCCACTTGCCATTTTTGGCCACACTGGCTGTTAATGGGCGGAGAACCTCCTCCCGGCCTTTAGTAACAGTTGAGTAACAATGACACAGGGCACTGTTCCCAACACTACAACTGAGCATATCCCCAAAGGGGAGGACATTAGGGGCTATTCCAGAACAGTTCAAATTGTTTTATTATGCTATTTGCAGTCAAAATAGTGACCAAAAATAGTAGACCTATGTAGATCTACTAGTAGTACTAAATGCTGGGCTTCAAAACTAACTGTGGTTTCACTAGTCATAATTTTTGGTGTTTGAGTAGAATGCCTTTTTGCCTTGTAGGGCGTGGTGGGCTTTTGCAGTTTACACATTGGATATGAAATTTACGTAATGGGCCCTAGTGGTTATAAGCACTGAAGCATCATGAATGAAATCAACACTGCAGGAAAGTAGAATTACTACTGAAAAAAGGTGCAACGGATACATCATACGTACAATAAGGAATCAAGTATACGCACGTACAATAAGGAATCAACAAGTATGTACGTACAAAACAAAATTAAGGATATGTACGATACGAGAGTACAAATATGGAAGTACCGATATGATTGGACATACCATTCCTATCTATGTTTCATAGGGTACTATTCATATATATGAATTATATGATCCATCATACCAAGGAATCTAAGAGTTCTAAGATATGAGGTACGGTGACATCGTAAAAGAACAATGAAGTCACAAGTTTAGAATAGAAAGAACCTTATGTGGATCCAGTACCAACATCTACATAAGGATCTAATCAAAACTCAAGAACTCACACCTGTTAACATGTAATAACACGGTGACTTTTTAAGATACAAAATCATAACATAATTATCATTCTTACACACTTAAGAGTACATATAAACTTGTGCAAAAGGAGATGTGCACACGATCACATGTCCAAAAAACAGGCCAAGTCAAAAGCTACTGTGGTAGCTACAATGAGAGATAAGGAACCTGGATGTTGAAACCCAGAAACCAGAATTGCACCTTACCAGACACAGACTAATACACCCAGCTGAATGATCTATTCAACTGGTGTGTTGAACTTCAGCCTGGTGTCCCAGGTCCCTCTCAAACAACTGCTCTAGCTCTCACCAGGGCAAAGGCCAGGCGGGAGCAGACAATGTGACAGATGTGAGATGGGTGCTGGCCCCATTTGGCAGAGAGTGTTTTAGCCAAGCACTTCCTTGCACTCTTGGTTTCAGGGCATTCCATACCATCCACTGAGTAGACCAAGGGAGTAAAATGGTGGTGTGCCTGAAGGCACGCCTCATTATACTTATCCTTCTTCTCTTTTTTCTCCTGAGCTTTTGGTGGAACACTCAGTGGATGTTTGTGTCAGCAATGGGACCTCGCATCAGTGTCAGCAGTGATGCAGATATCGAGAATGGAAGTGGTACCACGCCGCCAAAATCCATGGACACCAACATTGTCGGGAAGAGCTGGTGGTGGTGGCAGAGCTCCAGACAGAGCTCTGTCCCCATGCGCTGACTGATATACAGGGATTCGTGGTTCACCAGTAACAGCACTCGGCTTCAGAGCTTCAGGACAGAGCTGATGCCACTCACAGGCTCCTACATATTTATGGGGTTGTACAATTAGCCCCCCTTTCGGGCAGCTAAGCGCATGACTCACTGTGGAGCGGCTGTGGCTGCCACCATAACAGTGGGTCGGTAAGTTCAGAGGTTTCAAACCAAGGCGGAGGCGTACCGTACCGTAGGTTATCTCTAAACTCGTCAGTGGAGAGAAGAATTAACAACTGGTACCGTCCTGTACTTTGAAGGACCAGTGAAACTAATCAAAACAAAAAACAAGCACCTCAAATTGCTTTTGAGACTTCATACCAAGTGTAAGCTTACGGTAACGATAGGTTCAAAGCCACGGAGTTCATGAGGATCTGTAGCACTGGAGAAGTTTTTGGTAGTCATAGCACTGAGCATGCACAATCTTTGCGACTTCACAACTAAAAATCACTTGCAGTTAGCAACGACGACTCAAAGCATAGTGAATGAATCAGGTCGTCGAGCATGACTGCAGTAGAATGGGCAAAGAAAAAACCGCCACAAAATGGCCCTAAACCGTCGTGTATTGCAGGAAAGGAAGCAAGACATGATAGAAACAATGACAATACCAGCAGCAACGAAATTCTGTTCGAAGAAAAGGTTTTCTTCTGTGAGGGCGATGTCGATGGTGCGAAGCACGACAAGTCAGACCCTCGTTTTGCTTCTGGTGTTGTTCCTTTGCCCCTTGCCGTTCAGCACTGCTGGCCAACACTATTTCCAACAATCAGCAGCTCCAAAAAAAGCATCCGAAAAGGTGTATTCTGGGTGAGCTCCAGCTCTTCTAACAGCGATGGATCCGTACGAACAATGGGAAACGATCGTGACGCATGGTGTAATACTTCGTTACAAAGTTCCCGCTCCCCTTTTCGAAAGGGAAAATGCGACACCCAAATACATCAATTCGACTGCATTCGAAGAAAAGTAACACGTACAAAAGAGCAACACTTTCGAAAACGAGGAACGTCAACGAAAGATCTCATTCGTCGATCTATCGGGGGAAAGCTGCGCATTGCCTTCATAGATAAATACCTTGCAGTAGTCGTAAAACCCTACGGAATGCCGGTGCACAAAGTAGTAGATTCTCCCATTGCGGCAAGACCTGCTGCGAATATTATTGGCACAAATGGTGTAGCGGACATCAACGACCACAGCAGGAGCGGTAATTGTGGTACTGATGCAGACAAAGAAAAAGACAGATGTGACAATGACATTGCTGCAAAAACTGGGGAGAAAATAGTAAGCATGCACGAGTTACTTTTGCATTGCCTACCTCAATTGCCAATGGAAGTTGCAACMAGTAAGAATGAGAATAGACTCGACAACGATCCGCTACGTCGTCCAGCGGCGGTCCACCGCCTTGATCAACCAACTTACGGATTATTGATTGTGGCTAGAACGAGGCCCGCCGCTCGATTCCTGAGCCACGCCTTTGAGAACCGATCCGAATTCCTAGTGAAGCGCTATCGTGCCATCGTTCACGGTCATCTGGAAGGTGGTGATGAACACAGGGATAGCAATGCCGCTGGATTCGTTCGATCCCCACTGAGTGGGAAGGAATGCTGTTCAGAATACCGAGTCGTGCGGCGTTTTGAGGTAGATCCAGCTGCCGAGAACTCTTCACCCAGGGACTCGAATTACGAAAATGACGACCATAAGAAAAAGGCATCAACTGCTCCTAGAGTACCACTGACTTTGGTGGATTTGTTTCCTCACACTGGGAGGAAACACCAGTTGCGCCGTCACATGGCATCGATCGGTCATCCAATCGCCGGTGACACCAAGTATGGCAATCAGTCGGACGATGATGCACGATTGTTGCTTCACGTACCAACTATGCTTCCTCAACATAATGGTGGGGCTTCGTCGTTGGATACCAGTCGAACAAGGACATCGGATAACTTCCAGAGACCGCGTGACGGACCAGCATTACCCCTGATGCTGGCGGCGGTAGAAATAATTTTTCCTCACCCCGCGTCAACAGCGGATAAGTCACTCCAATCGGAAGTTGAAGCGCCACGAGCGGCTTTGGAATCTTCAATATGGGAACCAAACAGAGATAATGGTAGTCATCGCACTAGTGACGCCACCGAGGACACTGATCATTATGTCATGGCAGAAGACGCCGAGCATTCTTACAATGTGTCCAATGGGACTCAGCGTGTTCAAATCGACATGCCGGACATCATGAAATGCATCTCGCGGCATTCTTCCATTTAATAGCATCTCATTTGCGACCTATGCACAAACTGGCAAGTACAATATATATATATATATATATATATGTGTGTGTGTGTGTGTGTGTGTGTGTGTGTGTGTGTGTGTGTGTGTGTGTGTGTGTGTGTTTAACCTCGTGAACTAGAACAGACACCATGGCCAGAACCAGAACTTCTGGTGAGAAGGCTGCTCCTAGCTGCTCCGAGGGGCGGCGCCTCCCTCCAAGGAGTGGTTGTGGAGGCGCAACTAACATAAAATGACAAGTACAGTTGTTAACAATTCATATTCTGGTAGCTAAATTCATCTCAGCTATTAGTAGAGCACGGAGAGGAAGCGAATGTGGTTTGATTGGATGTGCAATACATCAGCTCTTGAAAACAACAGATTTAGTGCTACTAGTTGTAGTAGCAGTACTTGTCGTATTCTGTAACCAAAATTAGGACTACCAGTAGTAAATGTGAAGTAATATCCTTAAATGTAGTAGTGCAGTACTATAGCTCCTATTATTTTTGTAATGAAGCACAACTGTACTGTACTAGAAGTACTTACTATTTGACTACAGAATAGCTTGTGAATAGTCCCCCCCTTCATTGTTGACCAAGTACTAGTTGGCTACTACAGTGCACTGGACAACCACTTCTCACTTGTGCACAGGAGGAGCCAGTGACCTTGATGAATTGTCACTGCTCCTCTGGACTTGAAGAAGAAACAAAAAGAATCTTTTTTCTTTAGAATACTTCCATGTACTAACCCTCAGTACCCCAAAATCATGAATAAAATGGTACCTGGACAAAAAGCAAATTATTCACTTTTAATGTAAACATTCAGTCATTATTGTGGTGATCAGTCATTCCAATATTTAAGAGAACCAAATTGCTTCAAAGACTGAAAAAATCACTTATATTTGTGATTGGTGATACCAAGATTTAAGATAATCAAATTGCTCTCAAGACTCAAACGAATCAGTCATATTTGTGATCCATCATTCCAAAATTTTGAGAACCTAGATTCTCCCTAGACTTCATAAATTTAGTCATTATTGTGACCAGTCATTCCAAGATTACAAAGAACCCATTGCCTCTGATGAACTCTGACATAGAAGTTGTAGGAGAAGGAAGTGTTGGTGGTCATTTGATAGGAAAACTTCAGGGTCAGGGGGGAACTGAGCAGCTTCAATTGAACAAATTTGTTGGGACAAAGAGAAAAAAGTGTCTGACTCTCTTTATTAGTAACTGTGCTTTTGGTAAACAGCATGACCATGGAATGATATATTGCTTTGCCCTGACAGAGCAATATGAGCACAAAAAGATTCCAAACTAGGAGCCTCATAAAACCACAGAGAATAGGAACATGAATTGAGATCTGGATCTGAGTTCTGATGCTGGGAAAAGTTGTCTACAAAAGATGGTACCAACTGATGTTGGTCTGATAGTAGTGTTTTGCCAGATAGAGACTCTTCTTGGAGTATTTTCCTGGAGTAACACAGCAATTATCAAACCATTCTCCAATATAGCAGCCAAGATTTCAGTGCAATACAAAAAGGATTTAATAGTTATCATTGCCTTCCTTCAAGATACAAGAATAGTATTCCAATGCCAGGAAAGTCAACTGGCATGAGAACAGTGGAGAAGATAGATACTGCCATCCTGGTGGAAACGCAGACAGAATGAGGAGTAGTGAAATTAAAACTTCTGTCATTTGAAGAACTGTGGCACCAGATGGTAGGATTTCCTTGTTGCAAAACTTAATGACAAGAACATTCCTATCAAGGCCTCAGATAGCAGTACTGAAAGACTTATAGTATCCTAAACCTTGAGGACTTTTGCTTGTCCACTGAATATTGGTACTAAATCTTACTATCACTTGTGTTACTACAAACATCACAGCATTCAGGACAAACATGGTCATTAAAATGCAAAGAAGTTACTACTAACTTTTATCTCACTAGTTTGCATTCCTCACTGTTAGTACTCATGTTTAAGCCAAAACTATTAGTATGATGAGGGTGAACTAGCACCACCTGTTGAAGTTTTATATGGATTACTGACTGCTGGTGATTGGCCAGCACACCAATATCTAACGCTAAAAGTAGTTCTAGAACTGGCTATTGTTTCAAGAGCAAACACCCACCCAGAACATTCCTACTCACTCTGACAGTGATGTTGAACAGCAAGACACAAAGTAATGGACTACTACTACACAAACCATTGCCTCTCCTTTAAAGAAGCTATTGTTGATTTGAAGAATTGCAAGACGACCAATCTGAAGAAAATCTTTCACAAAGTGATCAAACAAAGTCTATTCAAGCAAGAAAAGTGGGAAATTTTACCAGTGGTTGGTAGCAGGCACTTGCATAAAAAACATACTGCTGAAGTCAACACCAAGAAAGTAAAGAAAGGCAGCAATTCAACAGTTGGGGTTGAACAAAGATGAAAATATTGATGACAGTCAAGAAATCAATTTACAACTATGCCAAAACAACATGATTCAAAAATACTCAACTACAGGAACAATGTACTAGTACACAAAATTGTTTAGAGATATATTGGTGCTGCTTTTGAACTAATGATGAAGGGCTTGGTCCTAGTACTAGTTTTTTCATTACCATTAGTACTAGTAGGAGATCCAGCAGGCCAGATTCAGTCTACAGACAGACAAAATTTCAACTTCAACTGCCACACATACATTTGTAAAAATGATGAAGAAAAGTTCTTAGACCACCTAAAGCAGCTGTTTATTCATCTGATTGATTAAAGAAAAGAACAAGGTCAGTTCATCTGTTTTCTATCAGGAAGGGCTTGTGGTACTGAAAAATCAAGAACAATTCATTGTTCTGTTTGCAAAGAATAAGGAGTGAACTTTTCCAACAGAACTCTGGCTATCACAGACATGACTGGAGTAGCAGCTAGTATTACCATCCACGGGGAAACAACACATAAAGCTTGTCACCTAAATTGGGACAGATCTAATGTTTCTCAGGATGATGCATGGGGAAACGAGACTTGCCTGCTCATTGTTGATGAGATATCACTTGCTAGTAGCATCAAATAGTTGGAAACATTGAACTAGTTTCTGAACTTATCATGTGAAAGGAAGTCATATAATTTCTATGACAATCTACTCATTGTCTTTGGAGGTGACTTCAATCAATGCAAACCAGTGGTAGGATGCTCCCTCTTGTCAAAAAATGATTTCTATCTTTGAGAGAGAAAATCAACACCTTGCACTATAAAAAACACAGGTTTAAAGATGATTCAATCTACTGGGATGGGCTTCTTGACAATTTCAGCAGAACAAGTGGCCTGAAAGAAGAGCATGTTCAAATCATCAATTCAAGAATCATAAAACCTTGGGGCAAACTTCCAGAAGAGATTACTAACACAACATACAGCAATGCAGATAATTGTGCAATAAATGATGGCAAATTTTCTAAGTTTGTTGAAATGACACATTCAAAAATATGAATTACCATATCACACCATTGTACAAAAGGCCTTGGACCCAAAACAAGAAACTACTGAGACAGCATACCAGATTTTCAGAAATACTGCTTGCTCACCACTACATCCAATGCTGACATTGTTGCAGGTGGAATCAAATCTTCCAAAATGATGTATCCAATGCTTGTAGACCTGGTGTCATGGTCAATGACAACACAGGATTGTAAAATTATCAACATTGATGGATATTTTGTTCAATGCATCACAGTAAATGCTGCCAAAGTTGAATGGATACAGGTGGACCTTGAAGAAGGAGACTCAAAAAATGTAATCACTTTAACTTCTCAAAACACTGTAGCAACAGCTAAATGTTAATGCTGATGTCCACAAGAATATGAATCAAGAATTACTAATTCAACTGAAACAAGTCAGAAAGGAATACATTCAACTCAATTAATATTTCCAATCAAAGAAATGTTCAAAATTACAGGGAAGATCTTTGGAAAATGTGTTGGTTTCAACTTGGTTTCTGTACACAACAAGAAGCATCAATTGGATTTATGTCATTGTGCTTTCATGAGGAGTTACAACTTCAAGTGGTCTGTTTGTAAGAACACCTTTTTATCTCCTTACAAACAACAACAACAACAACAACAAATTCCATTTGTATTTCAGAAACAATAAACAGCCACAGAGCTTTTGTTGATTACCCTCTAAATTCTTTTCAGAATGGTCCTTTTTCACCTTGCTACTAGTAGCACTCACTTAGTTTTTGCACTGTTGAAACTATCTGGGTTAGTGAGCCAATTCTGTGTCATGCTGGTAACTGCTGAGTGGCTCAAAATTATCATGTACTCAGCACACTTGATTACTATACAGACACACTGTTTTGTGGAGCAGCTTATGTGTATACACAGTAGTTGATTTTTGCTTGTTAAGTACACCATGCACCTCAGGCTGGTTACAAGAAGTGCCTGGACTGATTTTGTAGCCAGAGCTTTTAGCCTAACCCTTCCCTTTAGAACTCTTATTTCTTCAAGGCACTACTAGTACTAGTGTGGTGACAAATAGGTTGGTCTGGTTACAAAAAGTGCATGCATGCTCATGTAGTAAATACAGTAGAAATGCAAAATTGTTGTTGTTTGCTTACAGCAGCAGGAGCTTGCTAGCAGTACTTATCAGCAGGTCTATATCAGCATCCTCTGTATTATCCTTCATGAATACCAGTGCTTGTATCAGCAACTCACATTGTATCAGCATCCTCTGTATCAGCAACTCAAAGTATCTGTATCATTGTTTATCACGACAGTATCTTCCCATACACTATCAGTGATCTTTATCTGCAACCTTTATCAGCAACTTGTATTGTATCAGCATCCTCTGTATAAGGGACTCATCATAGTATTGTATCAGTAGACACCAGTGTATCAGTATCCTCTGTAGTATCAGCAAGTGTCCTCCTTTGCTGCTGTTGTCCAATTTGGATCACAACAAGCAAGAAGGAAGAAGAAGAACAAGAATGGTGGCAAATCCCGAGGGGAAAAGGAGGGATAAAAGAGCCTGCTGTTACACTACATCAAAGAAGACAGAGATTGTAGTTGATTTGCTAGAAGTGTACAAGACCTGGTTGGAACTGATTTATTTTCAACAACCATTATTGGAATTTTCATCCATTCAGTGACATCAGTGAAGACCAAACCACTTGACCATAATGAAGCTCTGCTTGTAACTTATTTGAATCTTTATTTGAATCTTGCACGTTCCGTCGAAATTTCATTTCACGACACCATGAAACACTCTCAGTTGTCGACACTATTCTTTACTTTTCATTTACTGTACCTTCTTCAACAATACCATTACCTTGATTATTAGACAGAAGATCCTTTGCTCCTGCCAATGCACCGACAAGAATCTGTTTCGGAAATTCATTACGAGCAATTTCTCGTCTTTTTCGTAATACGATGCCGTCATCACCAGATCACGATGATTCCTGCATCACAGTGAAAACAACACAGGGACGAAACTACAGCGTCGAGCGGTATTATATGCTAAGCGAAATCGAGCAGCACTCGATACATCCTGTCTACCTGAATAACCACCATTCAAGCTCAGAAGTGCACGATAGTAATGACATTTCTCACGGCGTCAACGAGAATGAAAATTCTAGTTGCAGTAGAGGAAGCAAAAAAGGACATGACATCAGTCGCAAGAACAACATCAAGTTCCCCCCTTTCGTAATTCTTTATCTACTGTGGAATGCACATATAGATGAGAAGACCACAGCGACCACAGCATCCTTTCAGAAAGGTCCCTTTCGAGAAGCGATTCAAAAATTGAAATGCCTCTTGGAAATGAAACGAACATCGACAGTTTTGAATCAAAGCGAAGATCCACCAGACACACCAAGAGTTTACGTTGTCGTAGATATGTTGGTGCAACCATCGTCGGTAGCCAAAAGAAGCAACGCGCTTCGGTCTGATGAATTTCAGAAACACGTTTCAAACGCAGAAGAATTGGCACGCTGCATACTACTATCGGAAAGCGTTGGAAACAACAAACAGCAAGACGGCGACTGCCTTGGTGATACTACGCCATACATGCTTTCTGCCATTGATCTGGCCGGTGTGACTGTTGGACTTACCGATCATCCACGCGCGGCACCCGGTTTAGAATCCTGCCTCGATGCCATTTTAATCGGGTCTAGGGATCGGAGGAAATACAGCGACAAGACTGGCTCACATCGTGACGGTGTCGACCTGAAGAAAAGCTGCATTGGGATCGTTTGCAATTCTATTCAGGATTTAATTGGTTTCGATGAAGAACGCGAAACAGATGCCGTTCAGGGTGTGATGCAGTCACGAACGGATGGCGTGCGAATGGATTGTCACAAGGAAACCGACGGGGAGGAGGAAAGAAAGGAAGAAGCACTGGAGTCACCGCTCTCGAGTTTCGCACACGAGTCACACCGATATTGGCGAGTACACAACGCGGGATTGCCACCGGAACCTACTCTCGAAGAAAAGAAATTCGATGCCGAGTATGGTCCCATCGAGAACAACCGCATTACGTGGATCTTGGGAACTGTGATCGCTTTGGCTGCCTATTGCTGGAAGGCTTCATAAAGGAGATGAATGCATGTAGTTTGGGACAAGTCTTTCGGACAACCGTTACAAGAAAAGGCAATGATGATCCGGTTGCTTTAACAATCTCAAAAAATTAATCTACTGCTTAAGATCTAACCCCGAATTTAGACCATAAATGTTTTGTGTGATTGGATGTGACAACATTGGTTGCTATTTTTACGCTTGTATCTCACGAAACACACCAAGTTTGAGGAAATTAAAGTAAAACATCTATTTTGCAAATGTCAAAAAGGGTTTTGAGAGAGAGGGAGAGAGAGATTTATCGTAGGAAATGCATGCCTTGTTGGAGGGTCCTCTTGATGTTTCTAATTTGGTTTGAATTTGTATTTGATGTATTCTAGAGTCTCTCCCATCTGGTTTTGTTGCCACAATAAGCTTCAGAAGACATAACTACACCTTTCTTGTTTTCCTAGGCTCACATTTTTTGTGTAATTACCAAAAAATGAGAAGATGGCTGTGCTAATTATTGTTTGAGGAACCTATCCTCTCAAATAGGTGAAGAATTTCTCAAGAAAGAGAAATATTCTCAGACATGAGAACTTTTTTCCTGGTTACCACAAGGTCCTCAGAAGATATGAATCCTTGAATTGCTTTACTAGAGAGGGAAAGGCAGCCAGGCCAACATGACCCCTGACTGTTGCTCCAATAGCAGACTGAAAAATGCCGTCATCCCAACATTGTGGACATTTCTGCTCATATTGTTCTTAAAGCCAACAAATGAGGCACCAATTGGTATAATTCTAGGTGGTAGTTTTGAAACAGATTGTTGCATCAAAGTACATTAGTACTTTCCATGAGATCTTTTAATGAATACTCAATAGTACTTTGTACCATGGTCCTGGCCTGCTATTTTTTGCCCCTGTTGTATACTTTTTTAAGGCTCCCAAGATAATGTTGTATCCATTCTTGATTCAATTCTTGTAAAATCTCAAAATTATATTTAACCTTGTGAACTAGAAGAGTCAAGGATAGGTGGACCAAGACTATAACTTCAGCTTCTCCACTGCCAATCAAATTAATGATATTAAGAACAGGCAAATAGATGTTGAAGCAAAGTTCAACAGGAAGCTTAATCAAGCAATGGCGTTGTCTCAAAGAGCTGCAATGTCCCCCATTGTTTGTCAATGCTCTGCAAGGACAGCAACAGGCACAGCAGCGTCAACTGGAACTGATGAGGGTGCAGCAGAACTTGCCCTAGAGATCTCTTTGTTCTTTGGAATGAATGGGAAGTGGGCATTGGTCTCAATAAGCCTGCAAAGGACTTTACTGGCTGCTGAGCACAGCAGAGTGAAGAGCAAGGAGTACTGCAGGAGGAAGAAGTTCTGGAACTGTGTTGAAAGACTCATTCGTGCTGGTTCTTCTTCTGATGCAGCAATCTGTAGGATTTATGCTGTCTATGGAGGCCCTGGGAAGCGCGTTTCTTCAATCCTTAAAGCTATGGCTCCCCATGAAGCTAATGGAGGCCACCACTTGCTTAGAGAGCCTGAGGACCCCACTGATTACTAGTAGCATTGTCGACACTTCTTCTTCTTTGTTGGGTTGCATGTCAAAGTGTTTCCTTACTACTTGTCCCCCCCTTAGTATATCAAAAAATAATAAAAATAGTAGTGTGCTGTGTATATGTTAAGTGTATTTTGCTAGCCTTGACAAGAGGACCATCTTAGGAGCTGACAGGAGAAGCGTCCGTGTTGTTGTTGTTATCAATGTGATTGTCGAGAATTACTCTCCCAACTTGTTTTTTTCATAGAATTTGCCTTGTGTGTGATTGTGTGAGTACTTCCTCTCCTCATCAATCACTCTGATACTCTAGCACTCCAGTCTTGCTGCGCACTGTCTATAAGACCTAGGTGTCTTTTGTACTACTACTAGTAGTTCCTAAATGGTTGCATTTTTAGTATCATTTTCTTTGGGTACTGGTCAAGTACTTTACGTGCCATTTAGATTACATTGATGAAGTAGTACAACTTACTTCCTACAATTACGTACTTGTAATTGTAGTACTTCATTCTTAATGTACAGTATTAATTTTGTAGCTTTAATTTATTCCGGTCTTGTTGTTGCGGTGCTGCGAGAGGAGAGCAGCACCAACAGAACCCCCTTACCCAGCAGTTTGCAGTGTTCACTACTATGGCATCCCAACAAGTAAGTAGTAATGGAGGTGATCAAGTAGTAAGCACTAATATTAATTCTCAAGTAGTAAGCACTGATTTTATATCCCCAGTAGTAAGGACTCCTAATAGAAATATTTTGGGACTCAGTTTTTTGTGTGGAGGGGGGGGGGGGAGATGAGAAATAAAGACGGGAAAATAAAAAAAATTGACACCCGGGGAATTGCCGGCTCACACCAAGTACTTCTACTTGACTTTTTTGCGCTTGACATTAGGAGTCCTAGAAGGCTTATTGTATGGCCTTTCTTTACTACGAGTTTCGTAACAATTGCACATCGTCTTGCCCAGAGAGCAAAAAGTAATAATTTGAAGTTCTAAACTTCAATTTGAAGTTATGAACTTTTGCTCGTACATCATGTACCAAGTTCTACTGAGCTAATTTTTTAAAATGACTGAATGGATGAATCACKATTCCCMTYAAAACAAAAAAAATGGTTCAGGGCGATTTTAAATGGTCATGAGGTGATTCAATCATGAATCAATCATGAATGCCTTCCAAAAACTAGCTCAGTAGAACCTAGTATACTTTCTACRTGAAGTTCATAACTTCAAATCGAAGTTTAGAACTTCAAATTATTACTTTTTGCTCTCTGGGCAAGACGATGTGCAATTGTTACGAAACTCGTAGTAGTCGAGTTAAACTGCACGGGATTTTGAAAGAAATAGCAAGCCATGTGCACAACAATGAATCTATTATGAAGCAATACTGATCTTTGTATTTAATCAGCATCACAGGTCCTACAAACCACGCTTTTTAGAAAAATGAGATACGATGCTGCAACACCGAGTACAGTCTTCGGTGCCGACGACGAAGAAAAAGAAAACCCCGATACCGTCGATTTACTACTCACCAAAGAACTTCTCGGACTTTCCTTCAAAGAACGAAATGCGTTTCAGGAAGAAATCCATGGCGTGGTATGTTTGGCTCGAGAAGAGACTCCTTCACTTCTTAAAAAATCACTCGAGAGATTACAGCAAGAAATCGACGTGATGCCTGATTGCCGAAAAGAAGCTTACTTGAAGAGCCAAACACTAGCGAATGTCATCAAGAACAACAGTCCTTCTTGTACCACGTATGTCAACACAGATGGTTTCCGGTTAAGATTCCTTCGGTTCGAGTTGTTCGATGCTACCAAGGCCGCTGTCCGCATGACAAAATTTCTTGATGTGATCCTGGATATATTTGGAGAATATGCACTGCAGAGGCCAATCCGCTTGAGTGACTTTTCCAAGATGGAGCTTCGGAACTTACGGAAGGGGCGATACCAATTTCTCCCTTACCGTGACCGTGCTGCTACCTGCGGGAGACGGGTGCTTTGCGTCTTTCCCGACCAGGAATGGGAGGCCATACCACCTCGTGTGCGCAACAAGATATTGATTTATCTCGTCTGGGTAGCAGGAGAGGACGTTAACACGCAGAAAGAGGGATTCGTTGTTGTATGCTGGATCGACCATACTTTCAAGGTATCCAAGTCGATAAAGGTGCACACCAAAGACCATCAAACGCTTACTGTAAGGATCAGTGCCCTCCATATCTGCTCATCAGATACACCTTTGCATCGTTTCCGGCGGGCAATCATAGCCATGAGGATAGGGCACAATCGATCCAGACTGAAGCAGCATGTTGGAGAATCGATGGAGCTTCGTTACGCACTGCAGTCTTACGGCATCCCTGTCGATCAAATTCCGATAACGTATACCGGAAAAGTGAAGGTGACGTACTTCAGACAATGGCTGCGATTACGGGACTTTGTCGAAGGCAACCGATGCGACAAAATAAATCATAGCATTGAGCTCAGTCGAACCAATCAAGTCGATGATAATAATCAGATGATTTTTTGTTGCGATTGGAACAGTTGCTGTGAAGATAAAAGCAACGGCAATAGTTGCATTTGTTATACCGCAATTGAATCTCCGTATTTGAATGATATAATATTCCGAAAAGGTGCAAATACATCATCCCATCCTGGAAACGCGGTAATGAGTCGCTTGATTGCAGACAAAACCAGGCAAGAACTCTATGCACAACACGAACAGCAATTGGTCGGCGAAAACAACAAAAGGACCAAAATGAAATTGTTTGTCTCAGAAATAATTCAGGAAATCCGAGAGAAGAATAGCACAGAACGAAGAATGTGCCGCTTTCTGGTGTGGGACGAGAGAGGTTGGTGGACAGAAATTTTGAACGAGTATGACATTCAGACACGCGTTGAATATATCGCAAGGGGTATACGTAATACTGTTACGAAAAACTATCGATCATCCACACCATTGATGCAATCACCAATAAACATGGGATATAAATGCGCGTACATAGTGAAGGAAGACGAAAGAATGATGCTGGGAGCGTTTGCGACGCAGCGTCAACTCAAAGACGATGCAATGTTTAGATACCAAGATTTTTGCAGCGGTTTGGATAAACGCAAACAAAAGAGATTTAAAGCCATGACCAACAGCAGTGGTGATGGAGATGGGATCATGATGGCATCTGAAACTAGATTTTGCGGAAGCTACTGTTTTTGAAATTAGATTGTGTACTAGATAGATCAACGGGTCTGACTCAGATTGGCTCTAAGGTATCAACACCCAAAAGCCAACGCCAACAAAAGGTAGAGATTCTCAAACAGCAGTTCGAACCCAAAATAATTGTACCCCATTTCATTGCCTTGTGTTTCGGTGATCTCCAATTATTAGGAAGGAACGCATTCCTGAACAAACATGGTAACGGTTTAACTCGTGATACATGTTCAAAAGATCCCATCTATAATCCATCAAATTGCATGGCACAAAGAAAACATTCAGCATTGATTTTGAATGCATAGAATCATTTTGGAGAATTTGATGATTATGGTTTTTCTACATACGAATAAATCATGACTCCTAACGTGAAGCAAATATATGTTGAGATGTACTTTTAACTAATGCCAATTGCCTGATGGACAAATTTTGAGATTAGTAAACGATTGGTTGATTTCGATTTCCCACGATATGAAAATGAGACATACTCAGATTTGTCGTCTCTCAATGTTGCCGGAAATATCATGGAAAGATTACATTGATCTTGAAAAATTGAATCCTTGCGAAAACTTGTGACATACAAATGCAATTATTTTCCTAGGTTGAACTTCTTCGCCGTTTCAATCTTCTTCATGACAGACTTGAATTCATTGAAATCAATTTTTCCATCGCCACTTTTATCCACAAATCCAATGATCATATCTACACCGTTTGCTGGCAAGATTCCCTTCGTTATCTTCTTCAGATCAGATTTGTCAATGTATCCCGAATTGTCTTTATCAAAGCTGGAAAACATCGTTTTGTACGAAGCCTCGTTTAGTTTCGTACCTGAGCCAAACATTTTATTTCTTTTGATGCGTTTGATGTTTCACAGTATTTTTATTTTGCACCGTTGTGTCTGGATACTGGAATGTGGTTGATGGTGATTAGGATGAACAATTAGCAGCTTTTGAGGCCCTTGCACGAATATTACGACGTCGCACTACAACTAATTACGTACCGTACACTCCCTTGCGACGAAAACGGTACTCGTACTTGGATGCAGGGGTCATAATTATGACATGACGGTACCAGGTACTGTACTGTGTCTACTCGTATTCAAGTTTACTGTAACCAATTGCAACTTCAGTAGCGTACAGTAACGTAGATAGCCCCTTTTGTACCCTTAAGCTTTCAGACGTGAAGGGGTTCCTACCGGTACCGTAACATCGTAAAAATTTCAATAGACCGAAGAAAAAATAAGTGAAGTATTGGTGCAAGTAATTATCATGGAAGTACAGTATTATTTTTTGTGTACAACGGACGTACGAGGTACTCCGCTTGTACTACGCGTAAAATAACAATTGAAACACCGTTAATTAAGGGGTTTGGGACGTTAATTTAACGTTCCGAATGTTAGCGTTAACATTCCAAATGTTAGTGTTAACATTCCGGACGTTAGGGACGTAGTCCTACGTATAATCTGTACTATACCCGGTGGGGGACAGGCCGGCAGCTGTTCAGCGTCTTGCAAGATGCAACTGAGATTGGTCTTTTGGATGGATCCTAGTACAAAGCTGTGTAGAAAATCCTGTAGAAAATCGTGGATCAAGGTACTTGCCTTGCGATTTTGGTCAAAATAGAGGGGTTTTGATTCAGCGTTCAAAATTGTACTGTGTCCTAGTGTCTTTACCTTTACCTGCCTCCAGCACGCTGATCCAGCACACTTTAGAACTGTTCTTTCATTCTATCGAAAAACTACTTGGTTCGAAGGAACCGACCATGGGAATTGCTCCATTCCAAGCACTTTCACTCAACCTTTTAGACTGTACTTGGTATCAATCGATAGCTCTCTTCAATTGTCGATTTAACAAGGCTTCAACTATAGAAAACAAGCAAGTGTAACAGATTTTATAGTGTGTTCAGTGTAGCTTCTTTTTTTTACGACGACTGCTTCTTTTTTCACCAACGTCGGCAGCAAACAGCTCTTTCCCCCCTGTATACAATGAATACACAGGAGAGAGAAGCAAGGGATGGAGCCAGGGATGGTCTCATGAAGCTAAGGACAGCTCTAGGAGGCCACGATGATGGAATACTCTCCTCAGATGATTCTGATTTGGATCACGAGGGGGGAGTTGTTCCTGCTCCTCCTCCCCCTCCAGCCTCGCCACCACCACCACCACCACCTCCTCCTGCTCCACCAATACAACCAGCAGCATCTCATCCTTTGTTCGAGACAGCACAGGCTACACTGGCCAAGAGGAAGTACCTTTCACTGAAAGAAAAGAAAGATTTGCTGGTTTGAATTAGGGACAAGCTCAACCAAGACCTTATCAAAGCTGTCTTTCCTGGGGGAGACGCCCTGTCCCATGAGATGCAGAGGGTGTATCATGATGTAACCATGACAGGAAGCACTCAGCACATGATCAAGAAACACTGGAGCCTGGCCTATTCAGCTACATTGCTTGCCAAATTCTTTACAGGGATGGAGATCAGGAAGGAGAGGAGCGACCAACAAAAAAGGGAAAGCAGAAGGACACGTGCAGCTGCAGACGTGCTTGAGGATGTTGCTGAAGCAGTAAAGGAGGCAATGAAAGCAGAAGAAACCAGCAACAGACTGAAAGGATCCAAGCACAAAAAAGGCAAGGTCTACTGGCAGAGGGGAGCAGCCTCGCGTTTACAGGATGATTGGGACTTTGATCCAGCCAAGCTGGATAGGTTTCCGTGCCCTATCTGTGACCACTATTCCATCATGCCTGTGGATGATCTAAAGGAGGTTGAAAAGCACAACTTGAGGAAGGAGAAGGAGCATGATACTGCTGTGGCTGCCCACGATGCAGCGAATAGGGATAAGAAGGGGCGTCCTAGGCTCAAGGGAATATTGGATGTAAGGATGGCGTGCTACTGTTGCAAGTTCAACTGTAACCTGGATCCGAGGGGGGGGACTTGTCCTGAGTGCAGCAAGCCAGGCGCTGACTATCTTGAGTATGAGAATGGCGTGCCAGTGGCTTGCAGCTGTCCCCTTTGCAACTGCCAGTGCTCAATCTATTTCTATCTAACTGACAGATGGAATATTGATAAGAATGAAGAGAGGCTTAGAAGTGGACCTGAGCCAGAGGAGGAACAGTATTCAGGGAACCCCCTGGGGAAGCTACATGACTCACTATATAGGCATGTCCATAGAGGAAGCTTCGATGCCCAGCTGGATAACTGTCAGCCTTTGAGAAGTAGTGCTCAGTTTGAGCAAGACGCCTATGGACATGCAGCTGATTACACTAAGACTGACATTCAMTTTCAGTCTGATGTGGCTTTGAGGAACAGTATTCAAAAGAGGGTCCCAAGGGGGATTAGAACTAGGGTCGATGGGCTTGGTGTTAACCAGCTTAGAGATGGTATTATTCCAGAAAGGAGGGGGCCGGCTCAGCAGAGGGGACCAGTCGCGGCTCAGCAGAGGGGACCAGTCGCGGCTCAGCAGAGGGGAGCAGCTCAGCAGCAGTCCATTCGGGCCCCTTTCCAGGAGCCTCGGCCAGTCTCTTTTTCGGCTAGTGAGAGGAGGAATGCAAGGCATTACAGCAATAGAAATTACAGTGATAGGGGGCACAGGAACAATCTTGGTGGTGACAGGGGTCTTGCTAGGTTGCCAGCAAAGTATGATCCTCTTGCCTCGCGTCTAAGGGCTGCTGCTGGCCAGGATGCCATTGGATATCGCTGGTTCAAGCAGTAGTGAGGAAGAGGAGGAGTACACACCTGTTGGTAGGAGTATGCATCCTCGTTGTACTTCTCACACTGATGAAGAGACCAAACCCTTTCATGTAAAGCTGAGACAACAAATCCTCATGCGTTTGACTGATCCTGGTGCTGTGGAAGACACCCCTCTCACTCAGTCTGCTTTACATCGAATC